ACTGAATGAAGCTCGATATTCATTTCCTTCAAAGTTTTCGAACATGTTAAGAAGGCCAATTGGTTGCGGACGCTCTGGTGCTTATAAGTCTTCCAAAGATTGCATTTTGTTTGGTCCAGAATGGGAATCTCTCTCTGCAATTACCCGTCTCCTCTTCATTGATGATAGTGATAATTTTTATGGCAAGGGCATCCATGAGTACAAGGAAGAGTTGAAAAGAATGGGAGTTGCTATTGAAGTGAAAGACGGACTCAAGTTAATCTCTGCTGGTCTAAGGTTTCCTTCAGATCCTTCCTCCATAACTCCTGAAAATGTGTTTTCATTGCTGGAATGCATTCACTTAATGCACGAGGGTCTTCAATCCTTTGATGAGGACTCTGCAAAACAGTTGTCGAAACGATGGTTGAAGACCAAAGGTGGTTATGAGACTCCAAAAAGATGTTTATTGTTTGATTCTCAGTGGAAATTGGAGCCAATGGATGGACCATTCGTTGATGAGACTTTTTATGGACCGAAAATTGCATCTTACAAAAAAGAACTCGTGGCAATAGGGGTTATTGATGATTGTCAGAAAGGGAGCTCAGTAATGGCTAGTTATCTCGGCTACCATTCTGAATTTTCTACCATAGTGCGAATTTACAGGTACTTGAGTGAATATGATTGGAAGCCTGAGAAAGGAACTGATAAAAGGAAAATGATGTGGATTCCAAATGGAGATCAAAATGGAGAGTTTGTCAATCCTGAAAACTGTGTCATCCATGACAAGGATAATCTTTTTAGTTCAAAGTTCTATGTTTTGGAGAGATACTACGAAAAGAAGTTACTTCACTTTTTCTCCTCAGCTTTGGGCGTGAGAAGCAATCCTCAGGTTGATGACTACATAGAGCTTTGGAAAGAATGGGAGAATTCAGTTGAACAAATTTCACAAGACAAATGCTGTAAGTTCTGGAGTTTTATTTTGCAGCACAACAGCCAGAAAACAAAGAAAAAGCTTTCTGAGAGCTTGATGAAACTACCCGTTACATCAGACTCCAGTGGAATACTTTTGTCTGACAAGTCTGATGTTTTTGTTGCTGACAACCTTTATATGAAGAATCTTTTTGAGAAACAGAGAGTATTTGTCTGGTATCCTCAGCCAAGCTTGCCATCATTGGACAGGCTTGAATTATTAGACATCTACAAGGAAATTGGTGTTTGCACTATATCTGAATGTGTACAGAAGGAAGAATCGTTTCAACTAGATGGTGCGCATTTCAATGAGGTGGAGCCAAGGAGTATCTTCATTGGAAAGGGGTTGGTTAAGCTTGTTCTTGGTTTTCTTGCTTGTTCTAGCCTCAACATGGAAGTAGAGAAGAGACACAAAGCCGTCGAAGGTCTTCTTGAGCTCAAAGTTTATGAGATGACTGAGCCAATCACTGTAAGCTATTGTTTGTCACTTTCATCAGGGAGGACCATTACCAAGAAGGCGAACAGATGATGCGTTGGGAAAATTCCAAACTTTTCATCCAGCATATGGACTTGGAAACTGGAAATGCAAGCATGATCAAATATGCCACTTTTTACTCGGAAGCAATCTCTGTGGGCATACTCTGTGAGAATGTTGATCATGTAGGGGCACTTTCTGAGCTGATCAAGTTGGGATTTCTACTGAAGTTCGACGAGGAGCAGTTGACTTCCTGATGGAATCCAGGGATTTGCAAATTTTCTTGGAAGATGAAGAATTCCTCAACGCTGCCTTTCCATCCAACTAGGTTTGCTGTGGATAGTTTCTGCAACGCTTGTTCTTCGATTCTGTAGCAGATTCTATGTTATTTGAGTTTGATAAATTGCTAAAGGTTTCTTATGTTTGCCCTTGTGTGCGTTTTCATATTCAGAGAATATGATATTAAGTGTTGCCATGTAAGACTTGGACGAGCTACTTATAGTTCGATTTGATGATGTGGTCAAAGTGTTCTAGATAAAGTTTTATGCTAATCAACATATGTTTGCAATAAGCTGCAGTATTCCTCTCTCCAAGTCTTTTGTCTGGACAAGAGAAATTGAATTATGTGACAGACTACTGTGTAGGGTGAATCAATTTAGCATTTGAAAGAATCGTAAAATACATAATACCAATTACATGAAGAACAAAGACAAGCTATTTATGTTCTTCGTATTATTGATAACGGCATGCTCCCTAATAATCCACCTGATGAGGGGAACTCAGGAACAAAATGAAATATTCAGTGAAATGGAGAGTATCGGTTGGCTGGTCATTATTCTTTCTGATATCTATAAATGTCACAGTCATTTCATTGTTTTTGCAGCAGCAAGACGATTTCTGTCAACGCCAGCGCAAGAGCAACCCGCGTATAATGATTTAACAACGAGTGCATTCTTCACAGCCCGGAATTTCTTCTTTCTGTTTCTTCTTCTCTTACCAGTTGATTGTGTTTCAGCGCACTGAATCGAGAAATAAGAAGAGAAATGTGAGGGGGGATTGTTGCATTTGGTGAAATAATAAATAAATAGACAGATAGATAGATAAAATCAAGAGCGAAAGTAGAAATTGCTCACCTCGTTCAAGATTTTTGAGTTCTGTGATGATGCGGCACTAGCTATGCTGTCAACACTCGATGTCTTGACGTGCCCCGAAGCCGGGTTTTGCACACTCTCAACACTGATTGATTTCTGGTGCGTGATCATTTCTTGGCTCTTCCCTGCATTTATTTAACACACAAGATTTTGTTTAAATTCGCAGAAGCACAATATCGAGGATCTTGTTAAACACGCACGCGCACACAAAAGAACCTGTTAAAGTCAAATTTGTTTGAATTTGCAGAAAACACTCACTTTCGTCCTTGTCAGTCTGAGGAGGAAGACAATAAATTCTAAAGCTTGGGGAGCCTGGACATACGAGTCCGCCAAAATCAAAATCATCACCATCATCATTTTTCTCTTCTACTTGTTCATTTTCATTCTCTGGAACTGTTTCCCCTGCTTCCTGACTATCTTTGTCGTTGTCGGCGTTTATCTCTTTTTCTTGGAGTGCTTGTTTCGTGTTGCCATTGTGATTTTCTGCATCTGTGAAAGTTTCGTATTCTGAGTCTGAGTCAGGCAATGGAGCCACTTTGTTGGTGGGTTCAACCTTCCTCGGAGAAGTCATCGCCGGCTGGTACGCTGCTTCAACTTCACCGGAAGAATTAGAGTTAATATCTTCATCTTCCTTTAGCAGCTTTTTCTTCGAGAGGGTGGTTTCTCTCCGCATGGCGGCTGCTGGTCTCTGTCGGCGTTTTGTTATCTCCTCATAACGACGAAGAAAAAGGGGGCGAATTTTTTCAGGTACTACCCCTTCAACAGAATTCATCCTGGAACTACCACACCCCATTGCACGAGGAAGAAGAAGAAGAAGATGATTGTGACGATTATGAGGTTGCAAGCAGAAGGATTAATTCTGCTGCAACTCTCAAAGGACTTGAAAATTGGTTGATGATGAGAGCAGGTGCAGCAAGATGGGGAAATATATAATGGCGTTGTGAATGTACAGAGTGTGATTACAGGTGATGATGGATAATAATAGACAAGGTAAGGTATTGTGATTTGATTTAGACTAAGCCTAGATAATTATAATGACATTTTCAAGAACTTAAAAACGGGTGTGTTTTCAGCTGGAAATGAACTTGTTCATGGTTGGAGGAAAGCGTTATATTTTGGTTGCAATAACGGAAGAATGTGATATGGCTTTGCCTTGTCGGTGAGTAACATCTTACGACGTTTTTGGCACCGATGAAATAGCATTCTGACAACCTTGAACTAAAGATTGAAGCAACGGATTCTGTTGCTGTTCGGTCCAGGGAATTTGAGCGGGAATGACGCGTAACAAAATAAGCTGGCTAAAAGATTATATATATATATATATATATTTATATATTGCGAGACTTTTGGGCCTCATGGCCCATCGAAATCTTCACTTTTGAGCCACCGAGGCCCATAAGGCTAAAGAGGCCACGATGGCCCATTAAAATCTTAACTTTTGGGCCTGGATGAATAAAAGATGAATAATTGCCTTTAGTTGTGCTCCAGATTAAGATACTGGCGCTCAAAATGAACCTGTGTATTATATAAAATTTTTACCTGTTACTTCTTCAGTTGAATTTTATCAGGGATATTGTTTTCATGTTATTACGATACGCATGTATATGATACACTTCCTTAAATTTTGATAGAAAAATTTGATTATGCAGGAACGATGTATAAATATATTAACCCCGCTGGTTTTTAGAAGAATGAAGACAGGGAATTACTTTTGATGCTCATTGTTTTGATGAGTATTCTAGACTTATCAAATTTGAATTTAGATTTAAAAATTTTAATTAATTATTTACAATAAAAAACTATTTTTTGAAAAAAGGATAATTAAGAGATTATTTTTATTTTAGATTTTATTCATATTAAAATAATTATTTTGAATAAGTAAAATAAAAAAGAAATCAAATCCTGATCATTCAAATGAGATATGAATGGTCTAAATCTGATGAGTTTAAGATATTCATCAAAACGATAAACACCGAAATTGTTCTTGAAGACAGCCTTCTACTACGGAGGCTACAGAATTACACTAGACATGTGAAATCTCATAATATACCTATTAAAAACTGTTGGCAATTGAAAAAAAAAAACATCCTAGAAAAATTCTTCATCTGCCTATACCAACGGATGTGCGTCTTTATGGTCAAAGTCCACCCCCCCGGGATAAAAAGGTCAAAGTAATTAATTTGCTGATAACCTAATGCTTTGATTAAATTTCAATGGGCTTTAGCTACCACCTACTGTGTCACCTAATATTTAGTTTCAATTTCAGTATTTAACTACACAAACTAATAAGGCAAGAAAGAAGCTTACTTTTTTAATTTTTTCCCTTTTTTTGTTTTGAAAATCGGAAAATGTTAGTCAATGGGGCAAAATAAATTGAGTGCGCAGGAGAATTTATACATATTATGTAATGTCGTATAGAAAAAACGAGAAGAGAAGGATCAGCTTATCATTTAAGAATCTCATCAGATGCATCCGGCCACTGCAAATCCATATCGCTCCTCATTGTGTTGTGCTAATTAAGAAGAAATTAGAGTGAATAATTTAATTTCAGGCATTTGATCCATACTCAGAAACATATGTAAATAGCTCTCTCTCTCTCTCTATATATATATATATATATAATTATATATAAGTGGTTCGATCTTATAATTAACTTTTAGGAGCCAGCAGTACTATAGCTATGGCCACTTGTTTCTTCATGATCTGCTACGTATGAACACACCTCTGTGATGTCGCTAGAACTGGAACAAGACGATGACGTGTCAGAATAATGGAGTTTCGCAGCAATCCCTGTTACCCTCGTAAAATCAAAGAATCTTGTTTCTCCCACATCAACATCTATCTCTGAGCTTCTCCTCATCATTCTCGCCTCACCGCCTTCTCTTCCCGCCTTCATGCTTATCCGACACAGAACCCAGTCTCCTACCTCCTTCCCATGACTCTGCAAATACTTCATCTTTAGTTCTTCGTTGATTCATATGATCATACAGTTCCTGATATTGCATTATAATTTATTAACCCTAAAGGATTGGAATTTCTTTCACATACCAGGTGGGTTGAGTTGGGAGCGCTCGTTTCTGCAATGACAAGGCGATATTCGTGCATGACCCAGTTAGTTCTAGAGCCGTTTGGAGCCTTCCCTTCGTAAAATGCTAAGGTTTTTCTCACCCCAGAAAAACTATTATTGTTGTTGTTATTTGTTGGAGACGATATTTTCTTGTCTGAACCAGTTGCCTTCCAATACCCAGACCTGGTCGTTCGGTTCATTCGATTACCATTTCTGTATTTCGCTTCCTTGTGACTGAAGAAATACCTCTCCTGTTCTTCACAATTACCTATACACACAATATTGAACTCAACTACTTACATTTATGAACCAAATCAATAATGCAGATGCAGTGAAATACATACACAATGTAATATCTGTGTGCGCATGTGGGTGTGTGTGTATGTACGTACCCACGTACGTATGTATGATCACATTCCTTTTCAACAAGTAGAGGTTTTTAGAATTGAGGTACCTGGCAAATCCCAAGGATCGTAGTTGCAGACATTGACTTCAGGAATGATCGATGTAGGCAGTGGACATGAAAGAACCTTGCATTTTAAGTACTGAAACACAAGCTCTTCATCTGTTGGCTGGAACCTAAATCCAGGGGGCAATCTGCGAACTCCATTCTTCATAAAATTCATCTTTTCTATTCAATTTACCTAACAATTAGCCTCAAACTTAAATTCTTCTTGGGCTCTTGTTTGCCCAGAAATTAAGAACAAAAACTGGAGAATGTCTAACTGGCAACAATGAGGTTGAAGCTCTGGTTGAAGTAGGGAAATCAGGCCGATATATAAATATAAAGGGGGGCAATACTTAACAGACTAAGTTTGATGTTTGACAATTATTTTAAACAAAGATGTAATCAATAGTCTAAAGTCTTTTGCTTTGTCTATTGTTTGTTAGGTCGCGGCTTTTTATGTCATGATAAAGTGATCCTTCAAAACTTGAAGTTTATTCATTAATTTATTAAATTATTCTATTAGAAATATATCCTGAGATTCTATCGTTGGCCCCGATCAATCTTGTGTTTACAAGTACTGAAATATCATTGGTACATGCGTTTAAAGAAGTAATTATAGTTAATTGCTAGTTTGAAATTGACAGCCTTGAAAATTAACAGTTCCCCATTTGATGTTAATTGCTATTCCTTCATCTAATATTGGGTAAATCATTGACTAATCTCAACTTCTGGGGTTGTTGGATGATTGGAATTTCCTGTGTGAAATTTGAATGGTTGTATTCCTTTTTTGCCCCTTTAATAAGCTAAGTTGTATCCTTTATGATGATTGATGTCATATATGAAGTCATGCTTTCCCAATTTATATGAGTCCTGTTGGAAAAATGCATTCACCTCCAAATTGGTCTGTTTTACCCCTTTGCTGCTTAAAGTTCATGTGCATGAAATATGTTGGATGACATGGCCTGAGATAAAGAGCTTACGAACACACCCACACACACACTTTTTTTTTAAAAAAAAAAAAAAGCAGAAGATTAAGCATCTTAGTGAGATATATGTAATAGATGCTCAGAATAATTTCCCTGAAACGCAGACATTAATTTTCTGAACAGAAACTGAAGAGTGAAAAGGATCCAAATACTACATTGAGGAATGGTTTGCTTAATGTTCATGGAGTGTGAATTTTTTGGCTGAGGGTGTAATGAAGTCAGCTTTGTCAGGCTGGGCATTCTCTATTGGCTGACAGAGAGAAAGTTAGTTGCTATCAATTATGGGATGTTTCAGATGAACAGTATAATAAAACTGACTTTTCATTTCGTTCATAAATAAAACTGATCTCCTTCAAATTCACATCACTTTTAATTAAATAAATGGAGTTTCATATCCACATCACATTGTAGCTAAGTATTTGATCCTGAATCAGACTCTTCTCCTGGTGCTCTTCATCCCCACATGACATTGGCAGCCTTAATTAGAACAAACCGACAGTTAATGTTGTTTTCACAGTAAAAATATTGCTGATCCATTGTAGGTATTCTACGGGGAAGCTGATGGGAAGGATATGATACTTTTAATTTCTGTATTTGGTCTTAGTGGATGGGTGAGTCATGAAGCAGCACTTTATATATGTCAACTGCTATATTATTTTTAAAGAGAAAAAAAAGTTTTTTTCCCACTTTATTTATGATAGTTTTCTTCTCCACTATTTATGAAGCCATAGGTTTCTTTTATTCTTTATCTTGTTTATGATATGGCACTGGAAGAATCAGATTCGAGGAGAAATAAAGAACAGGAAAGATGAAAAGGGGAGGCAGCAAGAAGGAGGCGGGGTCAACTAAGAGAAGAAAGGATTGGTACTTTCCTTACCTAAGAAGGAGATTTTGTGCATTAGGTGAGAGATGGAAAGAGCCAAAATGATAGGGAAGAAAATTCAAACGAAGCGAAGAAAATGATAAGAGGAGAACGGTGGATCTTGAATTGAATGTATTCGTTTGCTTAAGACAGCAGCAATAAGAGAACATGGGGGGTCTCATATCTGCTTTATGCTTTTGCTTTCATGGCCATAATAATAATAATTTGTCAAGGCTTCATAAATACACACATACATCTCAAAAATGAGTGCTTTGTTGACCGACACTAAAACCTCCAAAAGGTGCAAAAGCAACTCATTCTTAGCTCATAAGGAACTCTCCCTCTCTCTCCATTCTCACTTTCTTAGTTTAAGTTCATCCACGTGGGGTTTTCACTCTTCCTTGCCAATAATGGATGAATCAAGTTTAAAAAAAAGTATATTCCTAAATGGCAAGTAGGGAAAAAGATCATGCTAAAAGAATTACCCTCTCTTTTAGGCTTGATAATGTTCAAATATAAATTGATTGATAGTACCAGATATTACATAATTATTATTGCTGAGAAATATGATATTATACTCCCCAGAAAATTGCTATTTGTTGGGAGAGGAATAAATAACCATGCAATTGATTTTTCACCTTTTAAATTTGTTGGATAATTTACTCGTTTTAATTAAAGAAATGGTATTTTCTTTTTGACATAATAAAGTTGGGTTTTACCTGTATTAAAGCCTGTTCACAAATGTGACATATGAATTTTAAAAGATAATAGAACTACTTTGAACATTCCTAAAAAGCGTATTTGATGTTTAATGTTTTATTAACTACGTTGCTGTGATATAATGTTCTGCTTTTTTTGAAATTAAATTCAGATTAAACATTGGTAAAATCCCTCGTTCAAAAGTATGCGAAATTTTTGGGCAATTTATTTGTTTTTCCTCCATCTTTTTTTGTAGCTGTTTTTCTTTTTGATGCTGGTAAATGTTTTTTTGGGCTATCTGAATAAAGCAATTATTATAAACGGGACAGGCGAAGGAGTTACAAAGCCGGCGACGACTTCAGAAATTGGGCCTCCACAATGTTGAATTGGATTATGTGGCCCAAAAAGTGACAATGGTGTTATCAGGCCTTAGCCCATTAAATTGGGCTTGTTTGTCATGTTCAGTACTGGCGGTTAACAATTGATACTCAATTAAGTTCTTTTGTGCCGTATTTAGTACCTGATTGTCTTTTAACCATGATTGCTTTTAAGAGAATACCTTAGCCTACCAAATAAAAAATAAATTAGGTTCTTTTGTGTGTGTATAAAAAATCAATACAATTTTTCATTCCCCAAGCTTACTCTTATTTTAATTTTTATCCCTCAAATTTAAAATAATAAGTTTTAGACCCTCAATTTTTTTATGTAAAATATTAGTCCATATAATATAATAAAATTTTGTTCTTTAAGAGACCAAAATCTATATTTTGAAACTTGAAAAACTAAAACAAAAATTTATGCAAACTTGAAAGACCACAAATTATATTAATGAAAAAAAACTATACCGAATGCATGATTTAGCACGCCTTGTCCGCATTTTATTATTACCTCCGGTCCTTAATATAAGACCCTGTTTGAATTTTATTTTGATCTTAAATGTAAGACCCTAATCCACTTTGTCTTTTATATTTATACATTTTTTTTTCTAAAGTAGCCCTCCTAACAATGATAGTTCTAATTAATACACTTGATTAATAAGGATATTTTAGGAAAAACAACACCTATTTAGGACAAATAACTAACTCAGTTTACTTCTTTAATCTCCTCAAATTAGTCAACTGGCTCTTATAATTAAGACCCGAGGTAGTATTAAACAGTAACAAAATGAGGAAATAGGATGGATGATGCAATGGAAATGAGTTGAGTGAAGGGAGTCTGGTCTAAACCAAATGTAGATCAAACGTCATCTAAGCCAATTAAACATTAAAAAACATTTTTATAAATAAAGTCGGCAAAAAAAAAAAAGGAAACATTTTTATAAATAAAGAAGATAAGAAACCTTTGATTGATTGACGGATTGAATGTAGCTTGTAAGTAGACTGTGCAAAGTCGGACCTTTTTATAAAAGTATTTACATGTGTAAATTTTCTGACTCTATGAAGCCGTCTTTGTTAATTCACCAGCTTGAGGTCCATCAAGAACTTCAGGACCAATGTCCCCCATTCTGCTTCTTCTTTCCCAGTGAGAATGCATTATATATGAAGCATCATGTACCTCCACATCTTGTTTGGGAATAGTTATGCCCAAATCCAGGGAAGAATCAGCCAATTCACCACCCTTGCTAAGTTCCTCACTGTTACTAAACCCACCTTTATAATCGCTTCCCTCCTCATCGGCCTCACTGTAGGCTTTCCCGGTCCCTAATTCCAAGTCACCCATGGTTTTTCTCATCATGGGGCCAACAGGTCCGTCACCAACTCTTGACGAAGGTGATGATGGGTCCTTTGGAACCTTGGACCTGAAATTGTTCTTAGATGGCGGAATGCTAGAGCAGAATATTTCTTTGAAGTTCTTAAGTATTCCTTTGTTAAATGGGTTGACCTGCTGACGATCATAACGGTATCTGAAATTTTCATATGTGGACTGCACATAAAAACAGAAAGAATAGTTACTAACATTTTTGATGCAGAATGCAGTTAGCTAAGATTGAAGACACCCAGGAATAGTGCAGAGTCAGGTTTAAGGTTTTTGGGGGACCATGAGTTGAAGGGCATGAAAACCTCGTTTGTGCTGATGAGATACGTATGGAAAGCAGTAAGGCCACCAACGAACCAGACACAGATGAACGAGTAGATTATTAGCGCTATAGAAGCAGGAGTTTTGATCATTGCTTTCCAGATTGAAATCCCTTCAGAATCCATGATCCTCCTGATGTATACCCAGCAAAAGCCATGTATATATAAGCAGAGCAAAGTTGCAGAGGAGACAAACATGAAGTAGAACCTGTAATTTCGCTGCAGCCATGTACATGGAAGCATTTATGCAAAAGAAAACACTGAACTGGCAATTTCATGATTATATCAGCTACTAATATAACTGCTAATTAATTTTAAATGTTCTTGAGCTTGTGCCATTGTGAGAGCAGAAAATACAAAAGTAAATGAAATATTTTTGGCTCAAGTTGTTTGTCACAATGCGGAAATACAAATATAATAAAGTAATATGAAAAAAGAAGAATGAATATTACCAATCCAATACACTGACCCACCCAAGGGCAGTGATGATCAAATCGCTCCACACAATTATCACAGACCGAACAATGAGAGCAGCGGGGAGGCCTATATAGCTTGCAGGTATCGCAATATTTGATCTTTAAGGTTATGCCATTGACAATTACATCCTTTGTCCGTGGTAAACGTAGCCGGGGAATTTGTCCGCTGTCAATTCTAGAACTCCCATAATCATCGTCTGGCTCTGGAGGATGAGCATTACGGGGTACTATGCCAGGGTCTCTTCCTGAGGTCAGCAGAAGGACGATCAGAACCTGGGGATACATTTTAGGATTTAAGAGTACAGTGACAAATGAAAAAGGGTGTCGTAACAGATCTGGAAAATTGGCAATGGGGGGGGGGGGGGAGTAAAAATAACAAAATACTAGAGACTAAAACTAGTAATGAAACAGAATTTATGAATCCATTAATATCAGGAGAATTATGTTGCTAATCGCGAGTCAGGAACTTATGTAAGGTCATAGAGGAAAAGATAACTTACGAACACGGTAAGGGCAATAACTATGACCATTATTGACCATCCTGATTGATGAGGAAAATCATCTAACAGTTTTCTGGCCACAAAAGCACAGAAAGCAGCAACCGGGGCAACAATGAGGAATACTGTTAAAAATATAGATTTTACATCAGGTCCAAATATAAGCCTCCCCTGAAGAAAAAATACCTGGTAAAATAGAACGACAATGAGCTCAAAAACAAGAAGATTCACATAATACAATTTGAAATATGTTTTTTAAAAAAACAAAATAATGCGTTTTTTGTTATGTTCGCTGTTATGCAAATTTAAATCATCAATACTGAACAACAGAAGCTCGAGAAAATATTTACATCCAGTATCTGTTTCCACATGTTGATCGATCTGACGAAATTGAAATTTTTATGCCAAAGAAATTATATCTGTATAGTGATACGCCTTCCGCAGGGCACGTCAGCCTAACATTCCACCCCTACTTTCAGTGTAAAACGAAATGAATGTACTTTTATCTTGCAGGTTTCTAAACGTTGAGATAAAATCTGAATAATTTACGTGATTCTCTTTAGTTTAGATGATTATTAAAATTATACATGTCTATCTTCTTTCACACCCTTCGTTTTAGACCAATATCAATATTCTCCCTCTCTCTCATTTTATCACCCAGAATGCCAAGAATTGTTCAGGAAGTCAACAAGCTATCTTAGAACGACCATTAAGAATCTGCATTTGTATGTATCAGAGGAGGATGTCAATTACAATAATCTCACATACTGAGGACCATAAGCTGCATTGATTTAATCGTTAGCTAATTTAAACATCAGTTATTTTCACAGGTTGCAAAATTGACAACATAATATCATGCAACCATTAAAACTTCAAAAGCTTTCAGCTCAAATAACTTAAAATCGGAAGAACATACCCCGGGGGCCAAATTCTCTCTAAGGATAGCCCACAAATAGGAGGTCCTATATTTCACGAATTGAGTAAGGCTTGCCGCCCAGGGGCAGCCAAAGAAGAAGAAAAATACATAAAGGGGGCTCCACCTCCACTAAAACTGTAAGAAAATGGGCCAGTCCACCCTTGGTGGATTGGACCCAAGCCCAATTATCATTTGGGGTCCTGATGAGAATAGCAAAAATTATGGGTATCTAACTGTAATTTTTGCCCTTTCATATATTTTTGCCTAAGAGCGGGAACGGTTGGACGAGGAGGCAGTTTTCCTTTTTAAAATGGGACGTGTAGTTACAAAACCGTCGCATGATCAGTTGGTATAGACTACGGTTTTCTCCTCCTCGCTAGACTACTCATTTTTCTGGACTCCATTGCTCACCTTTTCCCTCCTGGTGCATTTGCTGTGAAAACACAGACCCGACTCCGTCACCGTGATCGGACCTCTGCGTGGCAACCTGATTACATTGCAGACTCCAGGTATGCCCGAATACCATTATTGGCATCAGAGCCTGGTTCTATTTCTTCCGCTGCCCTGTTTCATCTTCTGCGTTGTTTTTTTTTGTTTTTGTTGTGTGCCTCACGGTTGGCACTTCATTCCCACTTCAGTGATTTGCTCCCAGATATTAAGCAAATCTTCTCTTTATATTCAGCATGATAGTTGTTTATAATGATTCTGTGTTATTAGTTTTTTTTTCCCGCTTCCATGAACGTCGGATGTGAGAGTTTTTTTTTGTTTGTTGTCTCCAACAATTATATGATAGTATTCTGCATGGGAGATGACCGAAAACAATTAAAAACATCTGAAAAACGGTAGAAACGTAGGTTTGGAAGCATGGAATTCATCATGAGAGAGACCCGTTTTCGCACAGTGAAGTTTTTCGTTTTGGGTGTCTGAAAAATGAAGGTTTTAGGCTTCAAAAATTATCCCATTGCATAGAGCTCGGAAAAACGAAGAAAATGACACCAAGAACGCGAAGAACGGACGTCGGACGGAGGACATATGGGGGAGAGAACAATCCGGGTCCGACGGACCCGACCCGCGACGGAAACCGGGTCGGTCAGACCCGGCTGGAGGTTGAAGACAACCTCCAGCCCCCAAACGACGTCGTTTTGACGTCGTACACAAAAAAAAAAAAAAAAAAACGAGGCGGGGCGGATGCGTTGGTTGGGCTGGCTTGGTCCGGATCCGGATAGAACCGGACCAAGCCCAACCCGAAAAAATAAAAAAAAAAAAACAAATATAAAAATATATATAATGATTTAAAAAAAAAAAAATCCCCAGAATTGCCACGTGGCGCGTTCCGCCACGTGGCACACCTCATAGACACGTGGACACCACCACCTGAAAGGTGGTGGCGCGTTCGGGCCGTCGTAACGGCGCGTGTCCTCTTCTGCCGGACCCATGGCGGCGCGTGACGTACACGCGCCGACAGCGAGAGTGGGCGAAGTTTTAAAAAAAAAAAAATTCGCTAACTCTTCCTTCTAGGGGCGCGTGTAGGCGCGTGAATGGTCCAATTGGGGTGTGGTTTGTCTCTAAAAATCCCTAAAATTAGGATCTTCATTTTAATATATATTTTGATAATTTTAGAGACAATTTAGGATCCATTTATGAGTATTTTGGTGCGTTTTCTGGTGTTTTTATGTGGATAAAAATTCCAGAATATTCAAAATAATTTATATTATTTTGTTCTAGGTGAAAATGGAGCAAGAGGCTTCTAGTGGCACTGAAAATACCGATCATGGTTCATTGGAATACTCATTCCTAGGTGATGGAATTCCAGAATATGAACCTGAGGATGAGGATCCTGAGGAGGACCCTGAAGAGGTTCCTCAAGAAGACCCAGAGGAGTTAGTGGCTTCCGGACCTGAGTCGGAAACTATGTTCCCCACTGAACCTCTCCCATTGAACCTCAATTAGTCTATAAAGATTCACTGGATCTCCCTAATGAAATTGAAGTTGAGGAAGGAGAAGAGGTGAACCAACCTTTGACCCCCGCATTAGCTATGAGTATAGCTGAGAGAGATGCAGCAAAACTGACAAATATAAAAGGAATCAATGGCGTGCTCGCCAATTACATCCAATACATGACCGATAAGAAGAATACAGAATTCTACCTTAAAGTCATAATGGAGTACATAAGAGCAATAAGGGTTAGAGGCGGACCTAAAGGCAAACCCATAAGAAAATCTTACTGGATTTGGGCCATAGAGCTAGTATCCTCTTTTATGAACAAAAAACGCAAACTCAGGAGCCTAAGGAAAGCAATGCTTGATTACCTTTATGTGCATATTAAATAATGTAATATTTACATATGCTTTATTAATATTTGTTGTATTAAATTTTTTTTTATGGTTTCATGCATTGTAAACAGACTAAATATGTTGTTTCATTTAATGAAATTACTTGAATTGTTGTTATATGGTTATCTTGTGAATAGTATGTGTATGCTTTTTATAAGTGGGAGCTTTTAGAAGATAAGACTTCTAAGAGTCATAATTTTACTTTGAAGTGCTTATATAAAATCCTTGATAGGAAATAATGTTTGTTGCTTGTATCTGTGTGATGGGAGGTACAAACGTATGCTCTTGATCATGGATCTTGCAGCAACATTACTTTCTGATCAAGGATGATATAAGTACAAGACATTGTACACTTCGCTGTGCTATATATAACTAAGATGTTCTATGGTACATCTCTTTTAGAGAAAACGTAGAATAATGTGGGATAAATTTGCTTCAGAACTGAAAATGGCAACCAAGAACATAATTGCTGAGCTTAATAAGGGAGAAAAGCTCAACGGGGATAACTGGGACATATGGCACCGAAAGGTTCAATACATCTTGGAGGAACAAGATGCGGTTGAACCTTTAACCACTGCAATGGTTGAACCTGAAGCTGGGAATACGGCCCAACATAGGAGAGACCAAGAGGCTTACCTAGTGTGGAAGAAGAAAAACAGCATAGCAAGAATTACGCTTCTGAGTGCCATGGCTGATGACATTATGTGCGAGTTTGAGAGGCACAAAACTGCACAGGCTATGTGGATAGCGTTAAAGGACAAGTTTGGTGGTACTTCTACCACTAAACTTAGAAGGTTGACGATTAAGTTCGACACCTATAAGCTCAAGCCAAACAATCCAATGAAACAACATTTGAGAGAGATGGCCAACATGATCAGAGAACTTAAGGAAGCAGGCCATGTCCTGTCTGATGAACAGCAAGTACAGGCTGTTATCAGATCGCTTCCTGCTAGCTGGGAACACATGAAAGTCAACCTGACCCATAATGAAAACATCGTTACTTTTAACGATGTAGCCAAACACTTGGAGCTGGAGGATGAACGTTTAGAGGCTTACAAGACCTCTGGACAAGCTTATTACACCGAGGATGCCGGTACTTCCCAATCAAGGCCCGATTCCAAGAAGGGCAAGAAGTTTCAAAAGAAAGGGAAGAAGGGTGGTCCTCAATCCAAAAAAGGAAAGAAGCAATTCAAGAAGAAGGGAAAGAAAGGTGGGAAGAAGAAGCTAGACCTGAAGAAGGTCAAATGCTTCGCCTGCCAGAGAATGGGCCATTTCGCACGTGACTGTTCAAAACAGGCTGAGAGCGAAAAGGTATTAGTGGATTATGTGAATTCACATGTTTCATATGTTTCTAGTACTGTTTTTCTAACAGAACCTGTTTCTTCTTCTTGGATTATAGACTCAGGCTCCACAGACCACGTAACCAGGGATCGAGGATCCTTTATCGAGTACCGTCGGTTGCCCTATCAAAGCAAGTGGCTTTACGTTGGGAACAACGCGAGGATCGAGGTTAAAGGTTTGGGCACCTGCAAATTTACTTTGCGTGGTGGGAAGACCTTGATACTCCATGATGTACTTTATGCTCCTGACATCCGGCGGAACTTGGTTTCTGTATTGTGTCTGTTAGAATTTGGGTTTAATGTAAACTTTCATGGTAAAGTTGCAGACATTTTTAGCAACTCTGTTCTTTATGGTTCAGCTTTCCTGTTTAAGAAGTTCTTTGTTTTAGATATTGTTGGTGATTTCAATAGTAATGAATGCTTTGCTGTTTCTTCGAATAACATTGACATAAACACCTGGCATGCTAGACTAGGACACATTAATCAAAATAGAATGATTAAACTAGCAAAAGAAGGATTGTTGGGTGCCATTCCCAATATGGAAATGTCACTATGTGAGAACTGTCTAGCTGGTAAGGCAACAAGAAAGCCTTTCGGTAAGGGAAAAAGGGCTGAAACTCCATTGCAATTAATCCATTCTGATATTTGCGGTCCAATGAGTGTGAGGGCAAGACACGGAGCTTGGTATTTTATTACCTTTATTGACGATTTTTCACGATATGGTCATGTCTATTTGATCTCGCATAAGTCTGAAGCTCTTGAGTGCTTTAGACGATACATAAATGAGGTAGAGAATCAAATGGACAGTAAAATTAAAGCATTACGAACTGATCGAGGTCGTGAATATTTATCTGATCAATTCAAACAGCTCTGTGAAGAAAAGGGATAATCAGACAACTGACTATCCCTGGCACTCCACAACAAAATGGGGTTGCTGAAAGAAGAAACAGAACTCTTTTAGACATGGTTAGGTCAATGATGGCTCAAGCAAACCTGCCAATTTCTTATTGGGGTGATGCTTTGTTAACGGCAACCTTCATACTTAACCGTGTACCCTCAAAATCAGTCGCTTCCACACCCTACGAGTTATGGACAAAACGCAAACCAGATCTAAGCATCTTGAGACCCTGGGGGTCAGCGGCGTATATCCATGATGCTTCTCATAAGCATGGGAAGTTGGGTCCCCGAGGAAAGAAATGTATCTTCATAAGGTACTCTGAACAATCAAAGGGATACGTTTTCATAGGTGAAAACGAAGATGGAACCGTGACTGAAATAGAATCAAGAGATGCAATATTCATTGAGACTGAATTTCCTAATAGAGGAGATGTTGACCGTACCGTTTCTCTTTATGAAACACAGGAACAAGACAGTACAGAACAAATTGACAAACCAGAATCGTCTAGGTGTGTCAATCTGAGTGGGAGCCAAGAAAGGTCAACACCAAGACCTGAACAAAGAAAAAAGGATAAGCAAAAGCTCCCGTCAGAAGGAGTAACAGGGAAAGTGTTCCCAAAAGACGCTTTCAAATAGAAGGCGAATCTCTCTTAGTTACTCCAGAAGGGGATGATGAGCCCCGTTCTGTACGAGAAGCCTTGTCAGGTCCTGCGAAAGATGAATGGATGAAAGCTATGGAAGAAGAAATGGACTCAATGAACAAGAACCAAGTTTGGGTGTTAGTTGATCTTCCAAAAGGGCGTAAAGCCATTGGGAACAAGTGGGTTCTCAAAATTAAAAGAAAAGTGGATGGATCAATTGACAAATACAAGGCTCGATTAGTGGCAAAGGGGTACACGCAACAGGAAGGAATAGATTACGAAGATACATTCTCACCTGTTGTGCGTTTCAATTCTATTAGACTTATTTTGGCAATAGTAAACAGTTTAGATCTAGAATTACATCAGATGGATGTAAAAACCGCATTTCTGAATGGTGATCTGGATGAAGAAATCTATATGGAACAACCATTAGGTTTCATTGAAAAAGGAAAAGAAAATAAAGTTTGTAAACTCAAAAGGTCCATTTATGGATTGAAGCAGTCATCCAGACAGTGGTATTTGAGGTTTCACAAAGCGATAACCTCATATGACTTCCAAATGATAGAGGAAGACCACTGCGTCTACATTAAGCGGTTTGAGGGTAATTTTGTCATATTATCCTTATATGTAGACGATATACTATTAGCCGGAAATAGTCTAGATTCGGTGGTGGCTATTAAAGAATGGCTTTCGTCGAATTTTGAAATGAAAGACATGGGTGAAGCAGAATACATACTTGGAGTTAAGATCCAAAGAAATCGTTCAAAACGAATCCTCTCTCTTTCACAAGAGAATTATATCAACAAGATTCTTGAGCGATTTAACATGAAAGACTGCAATCCCATGAGTACGCCCGTTGCCACTGGAGTGGCTTTGAGTTCTGACATGTGTCCCAAAACCGAATCTAATAAAAAGAAGATGGAAAGAGTTCCATACGCCAGTGCTGTTGGTAGTCTGATGTACGCAATGATGTGTACAAGACCAGACATCTGTTATGCAGTGGGACTGGTGAGCAGATTCCAGTCTAACCCCGGTGAAAAGCATTGGAAAGCAGTGAAGAGGATCTTGAGGTACTTAAAGGGAACTTCCAATTATGCACTGTGCTACGAAGGAGGTGACCTGCGTCTTGTTGGGTACTCCGATGCTGATGTAGGCGGAGATGAAGAAGAACGAAGGTCAACTTCAGGTTATACCTTCTTACTCAACAATGGCGCCATATGTTGGAGTAGCAAGAAGCAAACGTGCATTGCCTTACATTCGATGGAAGCTGAGTTTGTGGCTTGCACTGCAGCAGTGCAAGAGGCTTTATGGCTGAAGAGATTTATAGAACACCTTGGATTTGGAAACGAGAGTACCAGTCCAGTGATGGTATACTGTGACAATACTGCAGCCATAGCCTATACTAAAGATCCTAAGTATCACAGCAAAACCAAGCATATTGACATCAAGTATAATTTTGTTAGAGATTACATAGCACAAAAGATTGTTACTGTACAATATATTTCAACCAAATGTATGGTAGCAGATCCTCTGACAAAGCCAATAGGCGAAAAAGTTTTTAAAGAACATGTACAAGCCCTTGGCATACGTAAAGTGTAATATGAACGCTTCATTAATGAAATTGTATTTCGTTATCACTTTATGTGTTTGTCCGAAAGTATACAATGTCTAGTATGTCGTACAGGTTAAAAAGGTTGACTCTCTCACACGGGCAACCGCCTTTGACACTCATGTGGAGTGAACAAAGATGAGACATTTGTGTTCACCAGTAAAGCAGCAATGAATGCTGATATGGTAGAGAAGAAACACAAACTTTATGTCGCCTTGACTAAAGTGTAGCAAGTCAAGATGAGATCCACGTTGATAAAGTTGGATCGAAGTTTGGAATCCCACTTCCATAATACCTGTAGCCAGACAACAAACTCTTCAACATCGACGTCATAACAATAAGCAGAATTGAAGAATTTGGGTTTAGATACTGAGTGTGTCTGGACCTAAGTCTGTACGGTGTTAATAATAAATCTAAATCGACATACGCTCTTATAGTAAAAGAGTAACACCGTAGCATGTGTTTCATACCACATGTGCTGAAAGAACCGCAAAAGGGAAGCAAGTGAAAGATCCCTGCTTCATTGCTGTGTGAGTCCCAGGGAGGAATTATCCTCCTATTGGTGTCCTTTGACTTTGACAATATCATGAAGATATGTTTCAGTGACTGCTACTTTGGCATATGTCCTATGGTCATGATTGATGCGATCTAAGGTAGTATGCTAAGAAAGCGACTGATTCATTTCAAAGTGATGTTTGGGCGAAAGGAAGATTGACTGTGATATACACACCTATGCTAGTGTCTGTGACATGTCCCTTATGAAATTTTGTGGTCGTAAGTGTGGATACTAGACATAAGAGAAAGGTAATCTGAGTCAACTTTTGACTCAAGAGGGATTAGATTTACCATGAAAAAGTGTATATAAGTAAATCTAGGACATCTGAGGCATAATTTTTAAAATTCACGCTACACAAAAGGAGAGGGTGACTTGTGCTGATCCTTTAAAAGGGATTTCTAGTACAGGGACCCAAGCGAAGACGTCATGCCCACGCGGTCACGGCAAAGCACTAAGTATGAAATTGAGGGAAGGTGAAGAGACTAGACCCGCGACATCTAATCCACCAAGTGTGAGTGGGAGATGTAAGAAAATGGGCCAGTCCACCCTTGGTGGATTGGACCCAAGCCCATTATCATTTGGGGTCCTGATGAGAATAGCAAAAATTATGGGTATCTAACTGTAATTTTTGCCCTTTCATATATTTTTGCCTAAGAGCGGGAACGGTTGGACGAGGAGGCAGTTTTCCTTTTTAAATGGGACGTGTAGTTACAAAACCGTCGCATGATCAGTTGGTATAGACTACGGTTTTCTCCTCCTCGCTAGACTACTCATTTTTCTGGACTCCATTGCTCACCTTTTCCCTCCTGGTGCATTTGCTGTGAAAACACAGACCCGACTCCGTCACCGTGATCGGACCTCTGCGTGGCAACCTGATTACATTGCAGACTCCAGGTATGCCCGAATACCATTAAAAACATAAAAGAAATAATCCAGACAACGCAATCGCATTCGAATCGTAACTGAGGTGGCAAAAACCCAAGCTTGATTACTAAAAGGTAAGAATCAGATAGAGAGGGAAGGAAGAAAAATTGATTTGCGTTTGAAGAAGTGTAGGACTCACGTTACTGCCCTTCCAGGCGCGGTAAGTTCTGGTCATCGGAGAGCCATCAGTGATTCCGGCGGCGGAGGAGTCCGAAAACACCGGCACAGGTGGTGGAGGCTGCACTGCTGGCATCATTATGGGCCCAAAACTACAATGAAAACGAAAATCACACAACGGAACCGGAAGGCAGTGGAATTAAACGGAAGGTCAATAGAGGGAAGGCGGCTTTTTTTAAATTGGAAAATAATCTTACAAGAATAATTATATAAATCAAAATAAAATAGAGATGACGCGGTTCCTTTTTTAATCGAAGTTTGACTTTGATATCTGGCTCTCACTCCTCAGGAGATGGGGATGTTTGGTTTGATGCGGCTTCGCCGGAATTGGCTAGTGACACCACCGTTTAATGGCCGGTCAATGCTGTCAGAAACTTAAGTGGCAGAAAAGATTAAGGGCGCAATTATCATCCATGCCTGACGGCGGACAAACTTAATTATTATGCCTCAATTTGACTGGTTCTGATGTGGGCCACAAAAAAAAAAAACGACTGGTTCTATCATTAAATTCAAATGTCACTTTGTCACTCCGCCGGAGATTTCCGACTTGAATTCTTTTCCGCATCGTTTTATCTTTGGAAATAATCATTTGAGATTTCTGACGTCAGCAAATTATACGAGAAAAGTGACATTTTTTAGAACCCTGCGAAACCTTTAATTACATTTAAGTACTGAATTTTATGACAATTTTGGAATTAAAAAAAATGAGATTTGTAGTGCGAAACAATTTTTTCTTTTTTAAGTGGACGAAAACCCCCCCCCGGTTGTCTCCGGAGCTATCTTATTTTTTCAACTGAGGCACTTGTTCTTTGATTTTTTTTTTTTTTTCAATACTCATCTTTTTACTTTGAAGGTTTAGGACTTGCCCATTTTTTCCCAGCTAAATTTAGAAAAACATTTTCGAGCTACCTTCGATTTTTTAGTTTTTTTTCCAATGCTCATTTTATATTAGGAAAAATTCAAGTGAGTTAGCCTTTTAAGTTTACATGCAACTGAACTTCAAAAGAGGCCTTTAAGGCTTCTGCCTTTGATTTTTTTTTGCCATTATATATTTTAATCATTAGCTGTTGACTTGAGCAGTTGGGTTGGCCCAACTCTGAACTCTTTTTTGTGTTAGGGGAAAGTCCAGAAATTTAGGAAAGCGGCAAAGTCAAGCGGCAAAAGAACAACGCGACAAACAATGAAATTGGGCCTCAACAAAAAAGACAGCTTATTTGGGCCTTTAAAAAATCTGAGATCATTCCTCTCTAATACAGAACCAATAATTCCTGCCTTGTAGCGCAAGCCACTGTCTTGGATTCTAGCTTTGTAGGACAAACCTCGGCATATGCATGATTCATAGTAATAGTAATAATAATAGTAATGATAATAATAAAAATAATAAGGAATAAAAATCTAGGACATATCAAAATTGGGGAATTAATGAGATATGGGGCATGCTTGAGTGAAAAGAACAATGTGGGAAAGAGACATGGAGGGGAAGGCGAAGGAAGCACGCTCATTAAAAGACTGTCACACAGATTTTGTGCAATTTGCGTGCTTATTCATTGCAGCAACAAAAGAGAATTAAATAGGCTCAATAATAATTTAATAACTGAGAAAAGTGTGTGGAGTTCATTGTATTTTGTGATCAATAATGTGTGGCTCGTGGGGTCAGCCACATCAGATCTTTTAAGGCTCCTCATCAATAATTCTCCCCCGACTGTGACTCTTCCTTTGGAGCCTTCCTTTCTGCCTAAATTCACACCCCTATTCACAACTCCATTATACACACAGAAGAGTTAGATGAATTACTGTTAGCCCCACAAAAAAACAAAAAGTGATTTGGCAACGAAGCAATCTGTTGCTATATCCCCATGAATCAACAACAAGTTGTAATAACGACAGCGCAGCATCACTTGTCACGCTTAGATGGAGTATCAGGCTCGAGTTCGGTATTGACATGTTTGTGTGATACAAAAAACCATTATGGATTATATTAACATATTTTAATTTTTGGTGAATCAATTGATTGTTTAAGAATAATCTCTTTTTTGTGACCATATGTCTCATCACTCTGGGTGGCGTTAGATTTCCCATTAATTAAGGAGTGTTTAATTAAGCACAAGAGTGGTAGTATAAGAGGAGATAATTAATTGCCTCGACCTAAAGCCAAAGTAATGCGATATATGGTCACAGAAATATGTATTATTAATGCCTTAATGATAACCTTCACAGCAGCCACAACCCTTGTATCCACCTTCCTAGGCAAATCTCTGTTAATTAATACATGAACCAATATATTTACAGTTACACACACAAACAAAGCTGGCATACTATCAATTTATTGCCAGGTAGCAGCAGTGTGACGTGCGTTTCGTCCAGTTTGTGGAGAATAAGACTCTGATCTTATCTGTTGCCTATCATTAATTTTCTTAAAATGTGTCAAGATAATACACACACACACACACACAGTTACACATACACACACAAACTTTAATTTAACTATTGACTTATCATCAGAATAAAACATATAATCGACCAGTACATCATGAGTGAAAAACATTGATCGAATTGTCTTTAGTTCATACTTAATAGTTGTGGAGGTTTAAATATCATGTAAGAATAAGAATTTATATATCCACGTACAAATTAAGACAAAATTAAAATTGACGAAGACGCCTTTTTGTGCGTGTGTGCGTTGGGATTTTGGAATCGGGATTATAAGCGCAGAAGCCAGCCTGCATCAAATTAAATTATAGTACTGTTGAAGAGATGATAGTATCCACATAATGTGGATAATTATTCTTTTTAAAAAAATAGAAATAAAAATCGCAGGTAATCACGAAGTCCTTTATCGCGTATAGGTTTAAATTAATGTCACAATGTCAATCAAAGAAACATTAATTAATAGCACACAATTCCTGGCCATTAAAGGCGATGATTCATAACATACCCTGGCTTATTAATTAAGCTTGGTTAGAATACAATACACTGTACCTGCAGAGAAGTAGTATGTGTTACTCTCTCTTTCATTTTATACGAGATGAATAAATAATGCTCAGTGATTAAAAAAAAAGTTAGAGTCAAAATGAATTGGGTTAATAAATATGTTAGAAACATACTCCCTCTGTTCCTTATTATAAGAGACATTTGATACTTATGGCATGTTCCTATATATAAGAGACACTTAAAAGCTGTCTCTACTTTTTTATGTTGATTTTCTATTTTATCCATATTTATTTTGTCTCCAATTCACACTCTCTCTCCCTCTCACTTCTCTTTCTTTTAATAATTTAATTGTTCTCTCTCATGTTATCTCTCCTTATTAATGAGGGCAATTTTGGGAAAAAAATTATACTTTTTACACATTGATTGCTCTTAACTAATTTTAACTGCTTTTTTTATCAACGTAATTCGGTTATTCGTCTCTTATAATAAGGAACGGAGGGAGTAATTTTTTTTAAGAAATATCATCGTGTAATAATTCATTTGTGACTTTTAATAATTAATTTCATTACTAAATGCTTCTGTTTAACTAGAGTATAAATTTTTTTAATAAATAAAATGCTATAGGAGTATCTTATAAATATAGGACTTAAGAGAAGTCTAAACAAATTCTATTATATATACTGAATGGCCGGCGCGTGTGATAGAAGAAATTAATTAAGTGTGTGGGGTGATCCAATCCAAGTGGGATCGGAATTATGATATGAGAAAGAAGAAAGGTTATGAACATGTGTGAGAGAGAGAGAGAGAGAGAGACATTTAATCAAAGAGGTTGAAAAGTATTTGTATGGTGTTGATATTTAGGGTCGTCTTCTTCCCATCAACCGCGCTTCTGGGGATAGGCTCTTGCCGTCATCATTATTCTTACAAAGCACTTCCACATCCTCACTTCTTCTCACTGCCATAATTCACACATTTTACTGTTTTATATGTCGCTTTCTTTCTCAAATCAGTTGACTTGTGATACTTTAATTAATTAATTACTTTATAAGAACTGCATATTTAATTTCTTCCCTTTCTTTTCATCTTAATTGAGTCTGTAACTGCTTGATCGTGATTTAAGATAAGTTTTATAAATAATCTAGTCTTTACAGCTCGGGTTCTGAGTGACAACGTTAGGCAATAATCCTCATCATCAATCATGACATGTATATGTCTTCTCTTGCGTTTCAATGATGTAGTTAAATTTAAAATTATACTTTTCCGGTTCTATTTATAAGTCACTTCTAGTATTGTTTCACACAGACTAAGAAAAATATTAAATTTCATTAACTTTTATTTAAAATTCAACAACTTTTTAACTTTGTCTCTATTTAATATACATTATACCTTATATAAAAATAAAGTCAACACAATAATAAATGAGAGGTAAAATTGTTCTATAAATAAAGTCAACAAAAAAATTTCTCTTAGTGCCTTATAAATATGACTAAAAAAAATCTTCTCACTCTACCCTATAAATAGGACCACGCGAGTAATTAATAACAGAATTACAATAAAAATAACTTGTGTTTTTTATTTGTGTGTTAATTAATTTCGATGTTATCGTGCATGCAACAGAAAAATGAGTATTTCGAATTAAACTGAAATATCCCTGTATCAAAATATCAATTTAAATACTGGAGTGCATGAACTTAATTAGCCTACTACTATTTCGTTAATAAAAGATGTATAACATAGAATTAAAAATAGTTAATTCTTTATCAAAAATTTAAAATAATAATTATTTGAAAAATGATGGTTCCGTCATTAATAGAATTTTGTGTTGGTGAATCCAACCCCTATATTGCTAGAGACGTATATTCATTGGCAGCCATAAGACACTCCCTTTCAGCAAAGGGAGGATGACTAATAATATACCTTTCTACGTAAAGTTATTTTATTTTATTTTCAATGTAAGTCACCTTATTAAATATATTATATGAATATAGAATTCTTTTCTAATTTATTCTTCTATAGATTGTCATTATTTGGAAAGCATATGCATTAAATATGAGCAGAAATATTAAAAAGTTATTAAATTTTAAAACAAAATTAATGAGATTTAAAGTTTTTGTGATTTGGGTGAAATCTGTTGAAAATATAAGATAGGAGAAGTATAATTAAGACTCATAATTTTAGAATAAAAAATTGAGCTAAAATTCTACGTGCATATATAGAACCAAAATGAAATAATGAGAGGAGTGTTGTCCCTTTCATACCGTGATTTCATGGCTGGGAAAATGGGCAAGAGAGATGTTTAAGAGAGCCCAAACGCAGGACAAGATATCTATCAAATTTCAAACCAAAAGAGAAGGACCATGCATCCATGACCTAATGCACAAGACAAATCAACCCTCCGCCCTTATGGCCTTCATTTGCCCACACACACATATATGCCTTTGATTGCCCCAGTCCCCTAATCCCATTCCATTATTATATATTCATCATCCTGCTCTTCCATATATCTAAATTCAGTCGGCTTATATGAATAGTCATATCTATGATGATCTCGATCTCTCACATTTATTTATTTATATAAAAATAACACATCTGATGATGAATGAAGTAAAGAATATAAATAATAAATAATGTAAAGCTTAAGTGATTATATATATTTATATTTATATTTCTGTTCAAAAATTCATAATTAAACAGGATCGAGGTATCCGTTTTGGGGAAAACATGAACGAAACAGACGGATGAAGAGGGGGTCCCATGCCTATTAAATTAACATGTAGCTTTGGTCCATTTTCATTTCAATCAAGGGTCTTCTTTACTATCCGTTGATTGTTGACAAATTCAGCCAATTTCAGGTGTTGTCCTTGTTATTGGCATTTCGAGCCACACAAACCCTCCCCCCCCCCCTTCTAGATTTAAGAGGTTTATATCATATCCAGCTAAATTAATAAATCATAGGATATTGAATCAGGCACCCATATACATATATACGTGGCTGAATTTTGATTTAAAAACAACCACGCAATTTCATCCACAAGTTCATACACGCTTGCACAATTAAATTCGTCAGGTAATGTAGCACTCATGAAAATCAGGACCTTACGACTCGTTTCTCTTTCTGTGTTTCTTTATATTCTAGTGCCATCTTACCCATTTTCTGGCAGAAGCCTGCGTCATCAACCAAATTTTCTAAATTCTTAATTATATATATACCCACATGCATAATGCATGTAAGTACTAAACATTCGCATATTTTGACTGTCAGAGGAATTCGGAAGCAGAATTACTATATACGCAAATAGAAATACATATAATAAATACAAGATAAAAATCAGTTTATCTGCCGTAACAGATGACAGTAAAAACTAAAAAGTACTTCTATGATCCTATTTATAGAGCATAGAGGAAAGATATTTTTTGATTTTATTTATAGGACACTGAGAGAAATTTAGTGTATAGATGTATAATTTTACCCTTCATTTATTATTGTATTAGTTTTGTTTATATAAAGTATAATATATATTAAATAGGAATAAAATTAAAAAATTATTAAATTTTAAATGAGAGTTAATAAAACTTAAGGTTTTTCTCAGTCTGTGTAAAATACATGAAAGTGACTTATAAATAGGATTAAATGAGTAGTAGTTTCACAATGAAATGAAAGCACTTGCTCAGTAACTAAGGAGACTTTCATATATGCGAATTTTAGTAATGTTTACTTATGACCATGCTTGTGAGAGTAGTATTGCCAGAAACCCTAGCTAGGGTTTTGCAACTCAACAAAGTAATTTGAGCAGGTCTCTTGTCTCGAACTTTTTCGGCTTTCGTCTCAACGCTCACAGTCTCCCAGAAGAGAGAGAGAGAGAGAGAGAAGGTGATTTAGAGGGCGACGTACGTGTTTGTTGTTTGTGGTTGTAACTATCATGTTAAAGTTTAGGGAAGGCCCTTTTCTAGGGAAAGAGAGGCGAAATCTTTGAATTTGGAAAGTAGCAATTTTAGTTGGAGACGATCGAGAGATAGATGTATCATCATGCATCCAGCTATATAATCCGTCCTTATTAATCATCAATTATGGGCATTTCAGTCTCTAAAGCCTGACGCCATTTTCATATGCACTTTCCATACATTATTCCAAAACAAGACAACACGTGCACGCACCTCCCCTCCCTTTATTCTCAAAAATATCTCCCACTTCCCATTCTCCCTAATTAACAAAATACGCTACTAATAATTAATTCCCTATATCTATACGCGTTATGTAACGTGTGAGGTTAAGTATCGAATCTTCCTAAATCAAATCCATGAATAATTATTCAGCTCATCATCTGAATACTAGTATATTTCATCCATATTAATCGTAAAATCATGCTCTATATATATAATACATAAACTCACTAGTGCTGTATCAAAAAAAAAAAAAAACTAGTGATTAGGAGTAGTAGACTTGGCATAAATGTGAGACGACCTTATCCTCTCTTGTCATGCGCCATTCTAAACTTCTGCACCTTCCACCGGGAAATCCAACCATATTAAATGTGATCACAGTTCACGAGTCCACCCGTATATTCGCTTTGTATGCCCACTATGGCAATTTTCCACGCATTTGAATGCAGATTAAACTAGTTGTAACATTTTATACGAAATTAAGTGCGGATCATGTACGCAAAATCTCTTTTCACATGATATAATATTCCAATAATAATCCATGAGAATCTTTTTTTTAAAAAAAAAGTGTGAATATAATAATGGGCATATTCTTGCCTGTGAACCAAGCAGGTGAAATACACGTATACTACTATAATGGAATGGGCAGATACCTATACTTTTCGTGTGACACGCGGCTTCATCAGGAGGATGGATGGACTTTGAATTTTCTCTATGTTCACGCGTGATCAGTCAAAAAGCTCTTACCTGCAATAGATCTCAACAATACTACTCCCACAGCTTCGCTGTTCTCTGTGGTAGCATCTACTTGAACCGCCCTCCGAACAGTTCCTATTATTCTTACTTACCAGCTAGCCAGGACCATTCTGTTCACTTCAAAAGGCTTTCATGCCCTGGTCTCTCTTGGTTTTACACGTGTCTACATTTTATTCACAATCCATGAAAATTTGGTAGCCTAATATCATCGGTGACTTCTGGTTTTGCTTTTGCTCATTTGGCACCAGCTTGCATCTCTCGCCACCTCAATGCCTGGCCAGCTGCTCAGTATCATATATATTATTTACTTTCTTCAAGAAATTATGGCGTCATATTACCGGACGTGTAATGCACAAAATTTGAATAATTTACGGGAGGAAATAAGAAAGAGGCTTATGGGGTAAATGATGAGCAGTAAAATGAAGGTTAACTCTTGAATTGTTAAGTACTATTGACTAGAAATGAACAAATTACCTCGGTCAATTGGATTAATTATAAGATGAATGAAATTAAGAGGAAAAGGGTTGGGGAGCGTTTGGGAGTGGTAAATTAAAGCATAACGCGTCGTGGAAGCAAAGGGGGTGGCCCGAGCAATAAATGCAGAACTACAATACACCAACCACTTCCAATAATAATGTGTTGAGTTGGCAAATTGATCGAGTTGGGTGCATGAGTCTTGGGTACCCCCAGGTAGCTACTACTTCTCTTCTGAAAGCGACTTCCCTTCGATATTATCACTGCTGATTCATACTTCATTTGCATGCTGTCCATGCAATCCCATCCCAATAATAATATTAATAATAGAGCTAGCTATCTACCATGCCATGACTATCCCATGCATACATGAGATCCTACCCATGTCCTATAAATAAGGGACCTCCCATTTGTGTTCCTTCCGTGGCAGGGTTTCACGCTTCCAAAGCTTCACCCATCTTCCCTTCTCTCCCTTCCACAAGGGAATTCTCAAACTCAGACTCTCACACAGAGAGAGAGAGAGAGATCCCAATTCAAATCTCATCAAGCCATGGCCCCTCCCGCAGCTTTTATCGTTGGTGTTTTCGGAAACATCATCTCCTTCATGTGCTTCCTAGCACCACTGTAAGTATATATACGGTTCTCTGATCCGCGATGCTTCATCAATGCAGAGATATAGATGAAATTACTAAAGTGTGAGACATTATTGTTGCATGCAGGCCGACTTTTTACAGGGTGTGTAAGAAGAAATCGACTGAGGGGTTTCAGTCGGTCCCGTATGTGGCAGCCCTGTTCAGTGCAATGCTTTGGATATTCTATGCCTATATCAAGACTGGAGAATTTCTCATCATCACCATCAATGCCTTCGGCTGCGTCATTGAGATCATTTACCTTGTCATTTACATCGCTTATTGCCCCAAGAAAGCCAGGGTACGTAGTGCTTACATGTATAATTCCCATCTCGATCGACGATCTTAATATAATTGCCCCACCTTCTCTCAACTTTAACCATATATATAACTAATTGAAATTATATGATCTCTCAGGTGTTCACACTGAGGCTGATCCTGCTGCTGAACTTTGGTGGCATTTGCATCATCGTCCTTCTAACTCATCTCCTATCCAAAGAGCGTGCAGCCCGTATCAAGCTTCTGGGTTGGATTTGCGTGGTCTTCTCAACTAGTGTTTTTGTTGCGCCTTTAAGCATTATTGTGAGTATATATACTAGCCTCATATATATTAACTTTTCTTTTCATTTTCCCCTTCAGATTATTTGGATATAAACACGAACAAATTAAACATGCCTTGCTAATTACTCGCATATTGATATTAATTTTTATTTATTTGCAATTACGCAGAGAGTGGTTATTCGCACCAAGAGTGTGGAGTTCATGCCCTTCACTCTTTCTCTCCTCCTCACCGTCAGCGCCGCTATTTGGCTTGCCTACGGTGTTCTCCTCAGAGACATCTATATCTCTGTAAGTTCTCCGCTTCACATGTGCTATGTATTTGATCTTTGAACATTTGTTATCTTTTTAGGTATGTGGTAAATTCGCGCGCTCGTGATACTTATTTCTTGTGTTATTTTCTGGACAGCTCCCGAACTTTGTGGGTCTTGCTTTTGGGACGATTCAGATGGTGTTGTATGCAGTGTACAGAAATTACAAGCCGCCACAGGATCAGAAGCTCCCAGAACACAAAGGGGACATCGAAAATGGCGTCGTTGCGACCGTGACCACAGTAGAGGAGAAACAAGTAGTCATCTCGCAGCCAGCTGGAGATATCGAGGTTGGAGAGAAGAAGGAGAATGATAAACAAGACCAGACAGAGCAGAACAACAACAACAAGACTGAAGGAAAGAGGGAAGAGATCAGTTCGAAAGTTTGAGGAAATTAACATTTGGAATTTCGGATGTTGGTTCTGCGCTGCCTCTCAGGATGATCGACCATCTCGCTATCGCTCTCTCTATCTCTGCGCGTCTGTCACAGAGACTTCCTTTATACTTGCTTGTACCATTTAAGAAACGTATATAGGGGGATCGGAGGAGACGATGTAGATTTCTATATATCTGTGTCTGTGATCTCTCTATATATGATTACTTTATAATATATATGCTTCAATACTTTCATGTAATTTTTGTTTTGTTTACATGTGAAGTTTCTAAAGCCCTCATAAGGCAGTTTCGTACGAATTGTCCCCGTGTTAATTGCAAAGCTCATAGCTAGCTAGCCTGCATGAAGAGATTCTGATTCTGATTATGCTTTTGCTTTTGCTTTTTCCCTTTTTTTCCCCTCTTTCAGAGACTATCAACAAAAGCAATTTGCACCGTTCGTGCAATGCCCCCAAGTCATAAATTATGAATTTTCGATTATGATGTTAGAGCAATGGACAAAAACAGTTGAAAGTGACACAATTTTTTAAATGAGTCGTCATTCGATGGCCACCCATTTCTATTCAATGAAAGAGAGATAGTTAGTTTAAGAATGCCTTTATTTTGCATAAAAAAGCAAGTGAAAACGGAAAGTAAATTTAATATATAGGCTACCACTTTTCTTCCTCTTCTCTTTTCCTAAATTTATTATAGGAATGATTCGTTGCTATGATAATCCATGATAGGTTTTAAAAGCTTTCGCGCGCGTGTGTGTGTGTGTGAACAATGAGTTTAGATAGTTGCGCATGACGTGAGCTTTTTGCTAATAGCTCGTACAAAAAGGTGACTATTGCTAGGTGGTTGTTTTTGATTGAGAGAGATCAACAAACAAATGAAGGATTGAAATTGTGGTCCTACGAGACAGTGACTGAATTTGATCGTAACATTAAGGATAATCACATTCTAAATTGATTGTCAGTATAATATTGTATTGTGTAATGATTGGCAGAATCGCATAATTAACTTATATATATATAAATATATGGATTTGAAAGTGATTGGAACTGTTTGATGATGTTAGAGGGTATTGAATCTTGTTTTATATGGATCTTTCTCGTAATACCATGCATAATCGATTCACCATCTTTAATTAAACATACACAGTGATACATTTTTTTAAAAAAACTATTCATATTTTAGACAATACATATTAAAATATGTTGAGGCGATATGTAATAACAGTAACGGAGTTACTTATGGCTAACTTGTGATTTTATTTTAGTTATATATATATATATATATATATCACATGCTTTTATTTATATGTCAAGACATAGCTGATGATAATATTATTGTTGATAATCAAATAATGCCGGTACGAGTGCACAAAATGAGCTCACAAGTATAATTTATAAGAGGCATGCACTTTCTCCATTCAAAATTACGAGATACTTTTAATTAATTTTATATATGCAATAAATTAGTTAATAAGCTTTAAGACTACACATTCTTTTCATATATATTTACTTTTATTCAACAGGGTACAATCTCAACTAGAAAAACCTTATTAATACACCTTGAAAAGTAAAAACGTCCTTATATTTTTAATCGGAGTAGCATTAAAGAGACGTTCGATCCTCTGATTCATTTCTGTGTTGTGACTCCACCTCAACCGTAATCACAAGCCATGCCAGAGTTGATTTTGAATCTGACCATTGCAAATTTCAGGACAGTGACAGCAGGAATAAGATTGTAAATCTGTAGTTACATACTACATCTAGTACTTGATATAAAACTCATCAATTGACTAATTTAGGAAGATTAAGAAAGATAAATAAATTATTTTAAAGTATTTAATTGTGTTTATATATTGTTTTTCTCCAAATTAATTTGCATGACTTATAGAATTGATATATAATCTAATGATATATATAAATATTTTAAAGATATCATATAACATATGTTAGAACTAATTGAGGAATTTATTTAGTTTTTTTAATCTCTTCAAATCAATCAATTAGCTCTTATATTAAAAAGCGAAAGTAATATAATTGAGATAGTTCTCTAAGATTAGGACTATACACGTGGATGTGTAATGGAAAGTTTGTTAGTAGTTAACTCTAGCTTAATTATCAGTGTGCTTATATTTGTAACACATCGCGCTACATATGGAGTATAGTTGATGATTATGCAGTAAGTCAATATACAAATTATTGGCCAAAAAGGTCAATACACGAGAATGTGTTTATTAATTGCAGGTGGACTGATGCCAGGAAAAATGTTACTCCATCAGGAAGTCGATATAGAAATTCTGATATATCACTTATAAATTAAATAATGTGTGTATTTGCATGTAACATGTGAGGGGAAAAACATGCAGACGCAGTATATTAAGAAAGAGATTTTAAAAACTGAAGTTATTGGAAATTCCAATACCTTCACAATTTATTGGAACTAGCCAGGACAAATTATTTATTAATCTTATGTATGTTTCCAACAACTCCTTTTAGATGAAATATCAAATTTTGTGAACTCCGTATAATATTCTCGTCTATCCTAATTATAGAGTAGAATTAACCAATTTTACAGTTATCAAGACATGGTAGTTGATATTTTTAAGTTTATATGTATAGAAAAAGTAACTATCACATTTTTGTCATACATTTTTGGTCCTATAGTTAAGAGTTTAGGAAGCCACAACATACATAAGTTAATGTAAAAATATTTACACCCGCGTTCTACATTCCCTGCAATTCTATCTTAAAATAAAGAATGACAGATTATTGGAACTTTGGCCAAGCAAATTAAAATTTATTGTTTCGTATCTTCTCAAAAAATCTTTCTAGAAGAAGAATAAACTTCTGTGCGCCCTGTTTTGCGCGCACTCTCACACGTTTATTAATTCTTTGATTACTTTCCTCAGTTTAGGCTATATGTTTCTATAATTTTAAAGACCGTTAATTAACAATACTAAACGAATGGAGTACGTAAATATGTATGTAAATATATATAATTATATGATTATATATGTAAATAAATAGGCTGACTTATCAAACTCAGAGGCCGGGCTTTACGAAAAGGAGCGGTATCATGTATAAGCTTTGATTCTGATTTCTGAATTGGCTTATTCTGTTTCGCTTGGCCAATTTCCACCCTCATGCATCCACATACTCTCTTTTTATTGGGCATTTAAGGTTTTAGTACATTGATTGAGAAATATGACTAATATATCAAAACTTCTATGAACTTTATTAACATATCCTTTGATAGTATACTTTGATGATTAATGCCGTCTTGGGTTTTAAGGTAGTGAAAATAAAGGTACAATTGATAAAATAATAAATAATGTCTTAAAATTTTAGAATGATATATACATATAAATTTTTGGAAAAATTATTGACAATTTTGTTAATGAGAATTAAAAAATCTAGTGGACTAGTGTGTGTGTGTGTGAGTATTCTCGCCCTACACACGCATGTCCAGAAAAGTCAGAGCAACATGCACGCACAATCATGCATGTTACACTCGCATGCACACTCAAGGACGCGCGCGCACGTGACACACACACCCACACACATTGTTCCTTTTTTTTTTTTTTGGTTCCTTTAGCTTTTTACCTAGGCCTTCCTTTTTTTTTAGTAACTAGTCTACGTGGGCCTCATTAACCATGTTGCCATGAACCTCCAACTAGGTAGCTGTTCTCTCTCTCTCTCTATGCAATTAATAATGAAAATTTTGGGGGGAAAAAAAAGAATCTTCCTTTAAAAATTTTACTGATGAGAAGAACCTGATAAAATTTTATATACAGAGAGCATTTATACTTTACAAATTTTGTATAGAGTGCTGATATTCTAATTTAGTTTCTTCATATCAATAAAAAATTTTATGAGAGATTTTTTCTCAATTTTTTTTAAGAATATAGGACACAACTCCTCTTAACCAACAATGACACTACTAAATTCCACAATACACGTGTGTGTGTGTGTGTGTATCTTGTGCCAGAATTCAGGCTCAAGGCCACTTAACGAGACGAAAAGAAAGAGATTCATCTCACTCCCTCGCCTTAGATGCAAAAGTTTTAAATTCTTCTAGTTATAATTACATGCCACTCACATTAAAATGTAAATTCCAATATTTCTGGAACAATAATAAAAATCCAAGTGGAAAGTGTTTAAACGGGCCAACTACGTTTAAAGAGGTTGGCCTATCAAGAAATCGACCCCCCAAACAAATCTGTGCAACTGGATTGTGCGGTCCAAGAAAAAAGAGTGATTACTTTTGAAAAAACAAAAAACAAACGAATAAACAAATTGACGTGTTGGAATGAAAATTGGTGGACATGATTGCATATATATCGGATGCTTTTCAGAATAATATAATGAATTGAGTACACATAGTACGTCAGGGAGCGATAATAATTGAAATTAAAGTTAAACGTGATCTCGTCTTCAACTTTTCTTCCCCCCTCTTAGCCTATTACTTTGGAAGATTAATTAAAATACAGAAGCAAGTTCACATTAGGACTCTCTCTATTTTACTTATTATTATATCACCATTTAGGCACCACACACACATCACCTTGTTTATAAAGTGTTTGGATAAAACCTAAAATTATGATTTTAAAAGTGACTTTACAATATACGAAGTAAATAAGTAAAGAGAAGTTTATTTTCATTTGCGAAAAAATACACTTAGAAAGTACTTTTCTTTATTCTCAAATATTCCTTAATTAGTGCTTATTTGGGTGGTTCATATCCACAACAGTGGGAACAACCAAGATAGACTCTCCTTACCTTGTTGAGCCCACCACATAATTGAAAGGCAAAACCCCCCCCCAAAAAAAGAAGATATTATTAAAATAATAATAATGCAGATTGTTTATTTTTTTTAAACATAATATCGAAAAGTATTTTACAAAGTGATGGTCTCTTTCTCTACGTAATGTGAATGGTGGGCTAGGTGGCCTCCAATGCCCTTCTCCGAGGTTGCCTCTATTGCCTTTTCTTTCTTTCCTTTTTCACCGCACATTTTAATTATTAGATAAAAACTAAATATTCCGCCGGACATTCCATAGTCATCCAGACATTAATTGAGTATTTGGAAACAAAAAAACAAAAAAAAAGTGATATAAAAATCGGATTCCTCCAGTCAGTAAATTACAAAATATATACACGACCGGATGATGATTTTGATTAATATGCCTATTTTTCTTAATCACGTAAGATTCGAGTTATAAAAATTACTGTATCATTAATCTAATTCATATTTCCTTCCCCTCCCTTCCCCTAGCTTGTCGGTGAGTATGGAAACCCTAATGCTAGCTTGGTTGGGAGGAAGTTCCTGTTTGAATTTCAACACATACATAAAAGAAAGGAAGAATTACAATGAGACTCCAATAAAAAAAATAACTATCAGCAAATCCCAATAATAAATTAGAAATTCTCATTTTCTATTCTGAAACTTGTGATTATAAATTGTTTAGATTATTTTTAGAACTTTTTAATAATTATGTTTTTTTTTTTAGATTTGAGTGTAATTCTCTCTTTCAAAAAAACCCGAGAGAGAGCATTTCGGGACAATGAATATAAATAGGGTTTGTGGTTGCGAGGACCAAATTTTCTGGGTCCAATCTAAGTCTCAAAGCTGTCTCGATCGTTGACACATATTGCCGTGTGTTCCAGTTAATTACAACCCCGTACTACTAATCCCAAAATTCAAAGTCAGGATGAATCCAACCTTTGAAATTATGCACCTAACAATCTCCAAATCCACCGCATGCTCCACATTTTCAATCTGTTCTTGTCTTGTACGCCTTCTGTCTCCTTTCTTTTTGTTTAATTTGGTTGGTAACCTTATGAGCGAGCAAACCGCACAACGCAATTTTAACAAATAAATCACACTTTTTATTCCTTCTCTTTATCTTCCTCTTTAATTGTTATATGCATTGTTATTTTTTTTTCTTCAATAGATGGCAACCTAATTAATTTATTGATTACTTATTTTAAGATTGTGTGTGTGTGTGTCTCACAAAAAGATCAAGTATGTTGGATATATAAGGCATTGAGCTGGTTGGCACAGATCATCATTCTTCATCTGATCTCCTCTGCGCATTTTATATTATTATCTGGAAATCAGATTTCAATAATTCAAATTTAATAGTATTTTATAAAAGTACTACTATTAGAATCTTCTAAAAAGCTAAATAGATAAACATAGATCGTTAAAATTTGATTTGAACAACCCAAAAAGATTGGAAACAAAAAGGTGAAGTTAACATTTTATCAGATACATATCGTATATGATTATCTATTAGAGGGATTTAATGCCTGAAAAAAATAGATGATATTATTTATACTTAAAAATAAAATAGTTTAAAATAATAGAACCGATCTAAACATTGATGTGATTTTTTTGTTATGTCGGTGTTATGATTCAATTTATTGTCCAGCTTATAATTGTCATTTGATGATTAAGTCAAGCTTAATATTTGTAAGTAGGAGAGTGATGGCGACAGTGAGGCGACCGAGTTTGTCACGTGAGGCTAAATACCATAAGAACTAGATTTAATTCGAAGGGCTGCGGACCCGAAAATAACCACGCTCGCTCTAAAATGTGTTATAATAATCTTTCTTAAATATATTTTAAATTTGACACGTACTGGCATTGATATTGATATTTGAAGGTGGACAAGCAAAGATGTTTTCTAATTTGCCACAAAAAAAAAAAAACAAAAACAGATGTTTTCTTATTTGGGTAGTGCAGCTTCACTATATGCGATGCGGTGTTGGCTTTGTATCCAACCGTTCATTCAATCTCAGATTTAAACGGCCCATTGCGATTTTTCCATGTCAAAAAGCTTCCTCCATCTAGCGAGATTCCTAATTCTAAATAATTTATTTTTATGTCATTTTAATTTTGGTCTCCAAAAATATTATTTCAGAGACAAAAAAATTTAAACGAACCAAAGTAAGGTCAAATCATAACGATTGATTTCAAATTTTAGAAACTAAGATTAAAATGAGATCAAATTTTAAGGATTGAATATAGTATTAATATTAACCCTGATTTAAATTACTTTGAAGAATGGATCTTTCTCTCTCATGTGGCTTTCATGCGGGTAATTGCATGTAGTGCATTACAGTTCACGTACAGGGACAAGTTTGAAGTTTGAACAATTGCCTATGTTAGTTGAAGCTAAATCTTTTGTGATGACCAGAGAAAAAGAGAGAAATATGCAAGATCTAAGGCTGAAGGTGGAGGGACCAGGACCACCAGGGCCAATTATGGATATTTATTATTTCTTAAAAAACAGGTTATTTAATTAGCATGTGATTGTAATTGATTATTTCCGGGGGCATTAATTAGGTTGATTATTTGTAAATAAATCTTTCCCATTATTCCCTCGTTTTCTTTCCATTAATTAGTTATAATCGAGCCATTTACGGTACAACTATGCTTATTTAGGGGAAAAAACAGAATTATACGGACCATATCTACCATTAAGTAATCTTCAAGTGGAAGCTAACCATATCATAGTTACCAATCATTTATTTTTAGCTTAGTTGCTCTTCTCATTTCATATTTCCTAAATAAATCCATGATAAAAAATATATAAAATATATAACAAACTATACCATTTACAACTCAACCTATTTTCAGGCTCTTTGCAATAACCTAGAGGGCCCTCCTAGTTTTGATTAAAAGAGAAGGGCAAGAGAAAGAAGAAAGCTGGAACTGAAAGAATCAAGTTGATATTATATTTCTTTTTCGCCCATATCAGAGAGCAGTAAAGTGTATTTAAATATAAGTCTAGATTTTTCTTAAAAGAACAAGTAATATATAGCTATAGATACTAGAAGGGCGCGCGACGTTCATTTGCCTATGGAAAGATGGACTAACCAGAGTTCGGCGATGTGGACTTTCATGAAGATACAAATAGTACCAAATTAGTGAATTTTTGGGGTCAACATGGCCTTTAGACACAGCAAGGAGGCCTTAGAACTAAAAGCCATGAGTTGTAAGGCTTTTGTTCTCCTGAGCACAATATTGGAGGCACTATGTTAAATGCGACCATTTTACTTAACAAGAATTTAAATTTTAGTTCATCACATTGTAAGGAGCTAATTCTTTTCTGCTAGGTTTGAAATCATCTTAGAAGTTAAAATGTTCATCTTATATATGGTGGGACCCAGGAATGTACCGTTAATGGCACTGGGCAATGCGAGAGGACCTCTTTGGGCTCCGTAGAAATGTGAACTTGAATGAGGTTAATTACGTTACAGAGAGCACTAGGATTATGAAATAAAATTTGAGTTGAAAAAGTGTACATTATAAGAGGTTATGATTGAGCAGCTGGAAAGTAATATAAAGCTACAATAATATAAACATACATATTGGCCTTTCAGTTCTTTAAAATTTCTTTCATAAGCGGCACGCCTTTTCCCAACTATAAATAGGCGATACCCCCTTGGCATTATGGACTCGTGGGATTGAGAGAAAGAGAGAGGAGAGATATGAGATCATAGCTCGAAGGGGATCAGAGAATATGTAATTTTGTACCCTTTAATTTGCAGGGAAAAGAGTGAGAGAGGTGTGGGGTTGAATATTATTGATTTTTGAAGCAGAGATGGCCATTCATCATCAGTCATTTGCTTTCGTTTTCGGCCTTATTGGTATATACTATATATTCTCTCTTTACTTGTAGTTTCTGTCTTCATCCCTTTCATTCTTTCCTTCCTTTTCTGGGATCCCAAAACAACGTCAAGTAATGTTGACAGCTTAAAAGAATAATATCATATTATATTTCATTCTTCTGGCTGCCGTTCACGCACACACACACACACACTGCTATTTATCAATAATAATTAGTTAGTAGCAGGAAGTTTTCATTTCAAGGTAACGAAGTCTGACTCCACAGCGTGTTCATTTCTCAAGTATACATCAAGAAGATTGTACTGATACTTGATTCGTCTTGTTTATCTCAATTATAGGCAACTTCATCTCCTTCCTGGTGTTTCTTGCTCCTATGTAAGTGATCTTTCTGATCTGATACGTATCTTTGTAGTGAATATTTGGGAGCCATCTTGAGCAATATATAAAGTTTGTTTGTAAATTATCTATAAATTTGCAGGCCAACATTTTACCAAATCTACAAGAAGAAGTCTACAGAAGGGTTTCAGTCACTGCCTTATGTGGTTGCTCTATTCAGCTGCATGCTCTGGATTTACTACGCACTCATCAAGAAGGACTCTGGCCTCCTCCTCATCACCATTAACTCCTTCGGATGTTTCATTGAATCCATTTACATTGCCATGTTCCTCTTCTATGCCTCCAAGAAGCTTAGGGTACGTGTGTGTCTCTACACACACACACACACACCAATTACCTTGCGAGCTTAATAATAATCCATTCTCATATGATCTTTTTTCTTGATGGAGCAGCTTTCGACGATCAAGCTTGTTCTGTTGCTGAATGTGTTTGGGTATGGATCGATGCTGCTATCAACTCTGTACTTGGCGGAGGGATCAAAACGCGTCAATATCATAGGCTGGATTTCTCTTGTTTTTAATATAAGCGTCTTCGCTGCCCCTCTCTTCATCATGGTATATAAAGCTAATTAATTAATTCCACATATATATATGTATGTATATCTCCGGTGATTAATATATTCAAATCAGTATATATACTTATATATATATATATGTATGTACCTCTTGTGATGCATGCAGAGACGTGTTATAAAGACCAAGAGTGTGGAGTACATGCCGTTCAATTTATCAATGTGCTTAACCCTTAATGCCGTCATGTGGTTCTTTTATGGCCTTTTCCTCAAGGACTACTATATCGCAGTAAGTTCACTCATCATTCACGCTATATATGTATGTATGTATATACTTTCTCCTGTTTTAGATACACGAGTTAAAATTATTATTTACAGTAGAAACTGATGCTCATATAAAAACTATTATTTAATATATGCAATCAGTATAAGGAAAAATTATAAAATTGAGTGATAAAGGTAAATTTGAGCGATAAAGGAAACTAAGATTTGACATTCAGGTCCAAAACAAATCAACTAAGAGGGTGTTTGGATGGAATCAAAATCATGATTTTAAAAGTATTTATATAATATACGAAGTAAATATATGAAGGAGTTTAATTCAATTTGTAAAAAAATGCTTTTAAAAAGCATTTTCGATGCTTGCAAAACACCCCCAAATTAATTAACTTATAATGGGAGGGAGTAGCATGTATTTAATTAATAATGTATGATCACTTTTCCATTTATATTGCAAAAGTCGTGTCCATTTCGACTTAGCTTTTCTTGGTACAAATCCCTTTGCCCCTTTTCATTTTGCTTGCTAAGTTCAAAACAAAGATTTGACGCTAGCGCGGTGCCTGCTTTATATTCTTAGTGGCCGAGCTAGTCCCAATATTTGAGCAAAGTATGGGCCCCAATGCTCCTCAGCTTCATTATTATATAGATTCTTTTCATACACCTTTCAAGAGATTAGCAATGATTCTCTTTTTTTTTTTTTTAATGGATTCAAATTAAATTAATGCAGCTGCCGAACACACTCGGGTTCCTGTTTGGAATAGTGCAAATGGTGCTTTATGCCATGTACAGAAACTCCAAGCCACTAGTACTTGAAGATCCAGTGAAAGTTCCAACTCAAAACGGCGACCATATCATTGACGTGGGAAGCCAACCTCAAATAATAAAACTGATGCTGTAACACCAGAGGATGTTGAAGCTAGCAAAACGACAGGGGTGGAAGTGGCAACGTCTGATTGATTAACAATTAATTAATTAAACAGGGTCACCACACTGCTAGGGTTTGGTAACTTTTATATGTGCAAAGGTGTACGGGGGATTTTCTAATTTGCCTGTATATTAGATGGTCCTTGATTGATCCTTGCTGTAATTTCCAGGCAATAATGTTGTTAGAATGATCTCTAGCTCTCTCTCACTCGAGTAATATGCAGTAATATATTCTCTACCCACGGATCTATATGTATCCTCTTTTTTCTCAACAAAATCCCATGCATTTTTCTTTCTTTTTTCTTTTCGACCAGTGATTTGCTTATTCTCTATAGTAATTTACTTTACTTCCCTCTTAGTTAAAAAAAGAAAGAAAGAAAGAAAAATCAATGTTACATTTAAGGTTAATCGCATTAAGTAAATTCATTAGCAAGAGATCACTCAGCATGACCTCTTAATATATAGATAATAATCTTCATGACAACTTCATTGCACAAAGTTTAAAGTTCATTTTAGTGCTTCCAACAAATTAATATATAATCTTAGCACGAGTATTCAAGTGTGCTAGGTTCTCAAGGATAATTATGATCAAAGCAAGTCTTATACTGTAAAGGGCATTGTCAAATACATTTACCAACCTGCCAATAATGTTGACATCGATCATTAATGAAATTTGAACCCAGACTCTTATGGAGTATATACACACATCCATTGTAATTGGATATCGATCTTTGCTAACAATAATATATATAAAGCTGTTTTTTCAATTAAAAGTATAGGCACTAATGATTTGAGATTATAAGTGGAATCAAACCGACGATATAGCTCACACTTATACATGCAAGTATTCATGCAACATGAATATAATTCTTGTAATTGTACATACTATATATGTAGATCAGACCTAGCTACATCCTTAGGTTCTATTAGTTACTATTATTAACGGCCACTTTATTTAGCACTATACGTCTCCACATTATCTTGGGACTTCTTTATGTTTGATTGATTTCATATAATATACATAAAGATGGGAAGGACAAGCGAGAGGGGGCACATAAAGGCATGCTAAAAGCAAAATGCATGTATGGAGGGCACAGTGATGCCAAAAGATGACAAAAGCACCTGACAACTAAGAGAGAATAGGATGCTAATCTGGTCCCATTCCAAACCATTCATCTAAAGTTAAATTAAAGTGATTTAAAGATCACAATTATTGGATTCACAAACCCACGGATCGATGAGAATGCCAGAACTATGATGATTGAGATTGACTCTTAATTAACATTTACCAAGTTGATCGATCAAAGGGATGGGTATAAATTACAAGACAACGTTGTCCGAGGTACATAGGAAAAAGGTCAAAGTCGAAAGGAAGTGCTTTTTTATAGGGTAAAAGTGGATTAATTTCTCAAGGCCAAGGAATCTACTTAAAATTTATTCATTTATATATTCCAACTTTACGTATCAATAATTTAATTAAACGCAACTAGTTAATGATTGCCAATACATTAAATTCAAATGAATCCACTAGAGTACGCATTTTTTGTCCTCGTCGTCGATTAGTATTATTATATTCGCACGAGTGTTCTAATTTCTCACGCCTCAGGAGTTAATGGTTGAACTGAAGTTAATGATATATAATGAATTAAATATATTTGTGCGTGCTTGGTACTAATATGTCCGTATTCCACCAGTTTTGCTCTGCTTTATTATAAAGAAAGAAAAATGTTACTCTCTCTCTCTCTCTCTCTCTCTCACACACACACACACATTTTTCCTCCTCGAATCATAAAACATTAGTTGGTGAGTAGTTGAGCCTACGAAGGAAAAAGAAGTTGCGGATATTCAATGAAGAGTTAGGTGCAAAGCTGCAGTTTTGATGAGTGCATGAACAAATATGAGCGTAACAGTTGCTAGGTTGGAGTGTGTGTGAAAGATGAGAAAGGAAGCCATACATTGAACATATAAAAATTCTGGTTCGAGAGGTGATTTCCAATAATCCACTTATATACATATATATATATATATATATATCTCAAAATCCAACTATGATTAATATACGACCTAGTAAATCTCCCTGACATACATTGACATGGGAATGTGTGGTTCTTTCATGAACAAATTCAAAGTGACGAGTTGTTTTCTTTTTACGCGGTTATCTGACTGAGCCAAATTCAAATATCTTTAGGCTCTATAAAAGGTAGCTCAGGGATTTGAACTTGAGAGAACTCAGAGACGTGCGTTTAAGCAGTCAAAGCTCTTTCCACCAGGATCAATGCCTGTTAGTAGGATCAAATGAGTTCTGGACAACACCATATTTATGACAACAACTCATGCGAAGGTACGGTGTGCGATGTGAACATCTCAAAATAACAGTTAGGCATACCGATCGAAAAGGCAGGAAGACAAAAAACAAAAAAAACAAAAAACGAGAAAGAGATACGTAAAGCAGGGTTATCTCTGTTCCTTTTTGCCTTCCTACCAATTTCTGCTTGAATTAAAAAGGTCATAACCCTTTTTATGCATGTGAGAGGGTACGAACGTAGTTAATCCAATTTCGTATCTTGAGCGCACAATCGTAAGTCATAACCAGAGTGACGAAAATCAATTAATAAACTCAATTCAAACGAATAACATGTATACTTAAATAAAAGAAAATAAAACAAAAAAGAAAGAAATTAAAGAATTAAAGGAGATAATGGAGATAAGGGTGGGTAAGAGAACCTTATGCAAAACGAAACGATGATATATATATATATATATATGAAAAGTTGAGTATATATGATTGTGTGGGAAGATAAGGACGCCATGCATGCATGGCTATTCTTGATAAGGAGTGATGTAATCAACCACTTCGCATGCGAATTAAAAGGCCTTTGTCCATTCTTTATAACTATTCAACCCTCTCTTCTTCCATTGCTTTCTCATCAGTTTTTATGGATCCTACTGATATGTCAAATAATCTCTTGCATTACACAAGGCTTTGCGTAATAACGTTGTTTATATAATTTCACTCAATTTTATAACGTTTTTAGAGGGCACCTACAGTTGGTGGGCCTTATAACCATAATGGCCCATCTTTCAAGGATTTTCGTATCAAGTTTCTGATATGCTTTCTTTCTGGCCTACGCCAGTACCGACGATCTTCCATGACGTATTTCATACTGAAAGAAAGATTATCTTAAAAAAAAACAAAGGAATTGTGAAGTCTGAGAGGTCTGCACTAAGCGTAACTTAAAAAATTATCTTCGTCCCATAAAATAAAAACCTTTTTAAGGGCTAATCTTATATAAGTCATTGACTCAGAATGCTGATTGTCTTCGTGTGTATTATGATTTGATGGGATTTATCAGAGATGGACGACGCCGTACCATGTGGGTCCTCCTCATCAGCTTTGAGGCAAGCCTAATTTGCTGACCTCATATGCTTTAATTCAACAATATCTCCCTTTACACTTTAACCCCATCTTATGTTTTACGTATTTAATCAGTCCAATCATTTTGTGCCAAATGAACAATCAGGGATTTTATGTTCCCAGTCCGTACCATGAAGAATAGAATTTGAGACCTTATTTGATTCTGTCCATGTAGATTTCATTATTCATATTAATAATCATATCAAGCGTCTTCAGGAAATATGAAAGCCAAGTGCACCCGGCCGCCTTTATCGCGCACCGGATAAGTGAACCGCAATAGGATTGGATTAGGCTTAAAAGTTAAAACTGAGCTCTAACGTTTATCCATGATGACTAGCTAGACCCAAAATCTTTTTAATGTTAAATTAAATTCAGGCTATATGAATTTCTTCCTAAGCATTCTTACACATCGAAACAAACCTTTGAAAAACCTGGTTATACAGCACAAGGCTGGTCCTTTTTTCCCCTCTACAGCGACATGATCAACTTTTTTTAATTTAAATTTACAGCGCATGATAGCATTCAAAAAGGCAACATCACCCAATTTAGACTCAAAACACTCAAAAGCCATCTTTGAAGATGGTCCAGGCTCTGCAGTCCAGACATCTGCTTCGAAATGCTTGTCGATTATATTGACAACGGCAAAGCACTCACATTTAAGCAATAATACATATGAAATCGGAAGATATGTGGTCCAACGAAAAAGGACTTGTTCCAAACTCCTCTAAATAAAAAATCACGATGATGATCATGGTGGTGATGATATGACGGAAAAGTAACCATTCATGTCCAGCTTCAATATGAGGCATAATTGTTAGAAGGGTCTCCCCAAGAAAGTGCAAATTTAAACAAAAATGGACTGATCAGCTAAGTTTCGCCCAATCGGGATGCGGGCATTCATACGTCCATCCAGGTCCAGTGTACCGAAAACAATGTAGCCATAGACCTTCCTCAAGGCCATCGTATCTGCAATTACCACACGGATTAGTCACAATAAGTCCTCGATCACAAGATGATGTTACTAAATGTTTGTCATCACAAAATATATTTCATTACATAAAAACACGCATACTTCAATTAATCGTAACATGATGATCAATATAATTCCACCAAACAGACAAGTTATGGGATAATCAGTGGCATCATCAACATAATCAAAGCTCTATGCAACAAAACTGAGCACACGAAATAACGTGGCTGAACAACTTTCTGCCAGTATAGAAGTTAGGGGCCATTGAGTTCAAGGCATCCTGAAATTGCAACAGTTTCGCTTTCACCATGCTAGAAACACAGTTAACCATCAATCTCATTTAGTTTTGAGGTTTTCAGCAGTATTGGTATCATGATTTGAGTATGACAGACACAATTTACATAGCCAAAAAGGCCTGAGAGCCAGCTTAGCATGGTGCTCATACTTCTGCAACTTGGCAAAAAGAATCACTACGGGACATATACTCTTCCTTTCAATTAAAAGACAGCCATGCATTTCAGGCAATTCAATTTTAAGATGTTTTTCATGACATTATAGGACAAAGAAGTTTGAGTATGTACCCCTTGGGAGCCAAATTTGGACAGTTTGTGCACATGGGATCAATGCTAAAATCAGCATTGGAGTTGCCCTCACTTTTGTGGAGCACTTCGTCATCAAAACTTGGTCTCAGAGACGCATCTGACACAAGCATAGATCTATCAGCACTTGAGCCTCTACTAGACCTATCAACAGTCTCTGCTGAGAGGTACAGCATGTCATTGGCTATTGGATGTCCCAAATACTGTAAATGAACACGTATCTGCACCAGGGGTTCTCAAGAGTGAAAGTAAGAAAATGAATTTCATTAGCAACTACAACCAGCATGGTAAAAAGGCATACAGAGTAGCGCGGGACATTATGGTGGACCTAAAGCATTAAACTACTGGTGTCACTTTTATGCCATTCTCTTTTCTGCATCTCTTACAACCAGTTTCATGAATGAAAGATTGACAACCAAGTACCAGCATGTTATCTAAAAGGTACAGAGATACTACTTATGCCTACACAGAGACAGTATAGAGTGCATCAGCCAATATCTGAATGTGAAAAATTGACACTAGTGTCGAGTCACATGTCACAGTGAATAGACCACATGAAATATACACCATCCAAGTAAAGGCAGAAGCCGGCTAAGAGGAAGATGCAGAGTAAAGACACAAAAAAAAGACTACAACAACATGCAGCACAATGCAAGAATAATCATCTTCAGTCAATCAGCTGAGGGGCCAAAAGAGAGGTTTTTTTTTTTTTTTTTTTTTTGGGGGGGGGGGGGGATACAAATTAAATGGAATTAATAGTAAGACAGAGTCAAGCTTCAGCTTGCAAGCTCATACTTGATGAGTTCGGCCAGTGATTGGCTCGCATGAAACAATACTATAAGTGCCATTTGAGCTGATCCGAGTAAATTTTGTACTGGCAGCCTTTCCCTTTGCAGAGTCTTTGATCTGCAAAAACAAAGATTTTTTCACTCAGAGTTGTAATTTTAGATCAACTTCCAGTCCCTAAATCTTGTAAATACTCTATTAATCAAGGACAGAATAATCAACTTTATTTTTTTTCCAATAAATGCTATAATTACTCAAATATTAGAACAAGCATCATTAAAACAATGGCTCAACTATTTATTCTGGAGTACCTATCAGAAATCAAGACATTGTAAGTCCTATGGTTAAACTTCAAGTACCAAAACATGCCAAAAGTTTTAGTTCAATCATGAATAGATTACTAGAAAGAAGAACCACTCTCCCTCAAAATAGTTTATTTTCGTTATATTTAAAGGAAACACAATGGAAGTCCAAGAATTTATGAATTAACCATAAAGGCGTTCCCATCATTACAGATTCATATCATCGTACTCTTTGGTATGTAAGTTTTCACATATTAAAAATTTTATTTCTCTCATAGTAAACCTTGGGGGGGGGGGGGGAAGAAAGAAAGAAAGCCTCACCTCTGCTGTACTTCTTCCTTCCCGAGCATTATAGTTTATATTGGCATCAACAACTTGCTGAAGATGAATATTAAAAGGAAAATGTTAAATGAGGAGATAAGCATCTCAATCTTAACTGATAGAATAATACTTGACTATTTATAAATACCATATACTTGAAATGCTGTTTTGAGAAACAATAAATCAGATGTTCGATTAGAAAAATGTCAAAAACAAACACAAGAATTATGAGCAAATTGACAATTTTTTTCGTTATGTTCCAATATTCTACTTTAAGAATATTTTTGTTTTTAAAAAGATATTTTCCTACATTTTTTCCATGCTGTCAATGTTGCAATCAACAACTTTCACAATGTACCCCCGGGGGGGGGGGGGAATTAGACAGTCCTCTCCAATGTGGCAGATGAGCAACTTTCCCGGAACAAGCCCTTTTTCCTCATCACAACAAATCACGTAACTGGCACCCATCTACATGACACTCTTACATTAAGTTGCTCTCACTGATTCCATAAACAACACAAAGCCTCATTGAAAAAAGCTTCTTTCACAATTGATTTTTAACAATAATGTTTTAGAAATACCTTCATCTACACAATTTTCATTTTCATTTTTTCCATGGTGGCAATATTGAGCCTACTTATATCTCAGATATGCAAACTTTCTCTTTCCAGTTCTACCTTCTACGTAATTTTGCCTTTGTTGCGAATACATTTAACATTTCAAAACTAATCTACGTAATTTTGCCTCTGTTGCGAATACATTTAACATTCCAAAACTAAAAGCTGACTGCTAAAACTGACAGACTGACAAAGAAAATAAGACCTTCTAAATTATGGAGAAATTCCTCAAATGTTAAGAAAAGGTCAATTTAAGGATAGTCCAGAAATAGATTGATAGCTGCATAAATAAATATGAAGGTGATATCTTAGATGATATACTTGCAGGGTTTATCTCATGAACACAACACAGTACAGTTGCATATAACTCAAATTATCAAACCCAAACATATGAATACCTCGCCCAGTGGAAATTCACCAACTACTTTTGCAATATATTGCTTCCGGACTACACCAGCTTCAATCTGTGACAAGTGATAACCACTTTCAATATTTAAATTTACTGAAAGAAAAATAATATTCTGATTCTGTTTGCAGAAAGAAAAATAAATTAAACATCATAAAATCCCTATCTTTTCAATTTGATGGCATGACACAGAAATGGAACATTCCATGAACACAAAACAGCCAATATCTTCATTTAGTAAATGTGCATTACATTTCAGAATCTAAAGTCATTCTTCAAAATTTGTCACAGATACAACTCAACACTAAGAAGCCTTATTCATTTTTTAGACAAGTCACATGATGCCAGCCAGCTCAAAGGACCGAAGAAAATGAACTCATATCAATGATTACAATTTTAAAGTGAGATACAATGAAGATTCACCTGTTGCCTGAAGAAATCGGCTTTTAGAGCACTTCTGGCCAAAATGAGAAGTCCTGAGACAAGACGATCCAGTCGATGAACCGCTGGTATGATCATGTCAAGGAAGATGCAAAGACCAAATTTGAAAAACTCAGAGGATAAGAGTATGAAAATAGATACTTTCAATACTAAATTACTTTTTAAACAGAAATATATATATCATTAAAATTAGACATTTTGTCTCTAAAAATTTGGATACGAAATAGAGGTGCCAACCCATGCTCTGCTTGGAGGATGCCAATAACAGTGTTCTTACGATATTGACCACATGGATGGACCTACGTCACAGCTAAAATTGATAGTTTTAGCATTTACAAAACACAATATATCAAGAAGCATATATCTTCAATTAGGTAACTAACAATAAATCCACGCAGGATTTGACGGCTTCTTATTGTATAGGCAAGGGGGGGGGAAAACTGACAAAAAGCTTTGACTTGATACTGAGATTGAACTAAATGATTGGAAACAGATAATAGAAAATACCAATTTGAGTCTTCTGGGGATACGCTCATAACCAAAAACCCAATGCAATGAATTATGAATATTCTAGAAGGAAGAACCGTTGTATGTAAGATACATGGAAATGTGTCCGCCTCCCCTAACCTTAAAAAAAGATCCAGTATATGCTAATTCTTATGTGTCTTTCATGATAAAGGGAACCATAGTTAACAGAAGTATTAACTAATTGCAGCAATACTTTCACATAATTCCAAAAGGATGCCCATACAGTAACTTATGAACTAAATATAGTGATGAAACAATATGACAGGCAAATTTCAGCGCACCAAGCAGAAGTTATGAAGCAATTACAAGTGAGAGGGAAAAGCCAGAACACAAGGAAACTTGAAGTATATGTTGCATTTGAAAAGCCATAAAAAAACAATGAAAGGCCCAATCATCGATTCCTCTTTGTACTATTTTAGGTGTTGCTCAAGGCGAATCAGGGAGACAAAAAAGAGGATAACACTACTTTCTTTCCATAGTCACTGCATACTTACAGGGACAGATGCTGGCTTACAAATCGTCACCACATCTGGTTCTTTTTGAAGAACAGAAACGCCCGCAGCCATCACAGGAGGTTCATGCCTACAACCCAAATGATATCAGTTTAACGTCCAAGCACTATCATTTCCTTTTAACAGGGCATCAAGAGGAGGAGGAAAACCTGTGTAAGAAATGGCTGATCTTTTGAGATGGTTTAACAATGTATGATACTGGCACCATCTCACCATCAACTTGTATCCTTCCACATTCCACTGCATTAACCTACAAAGTTCAACACGAAAGTCAATTAACTTGTATTCTGGCTCAACTTATTCACTGAGCGAAAACAAATATTCATAAGGTCGACCCTTAAATTCTTGCTTAACTAATGCATTAACTTATATTCTGGCTTAACTTACGCATTAACCTACAAAGTGCAACATGAAAGTCAACTAAAATAAAAGCTAGGCACGTTTCTTACATAATATTCATAAGGTCGACCCTTAAACTCTTCAGCAAATAAATCCACAATCGTTTTTCCCGCCCACCGATTTTTCACCTGCTCTCAAGCAATCAACCATCCTTAGGGTTTAATCAGGGTTTAAACGAAATTTACTGCACCAACTGAAAGCAGCCAAAAATAGGAGAAAGATACATAAAGAACTAACGTGAGCAATAAATTCGAAGTAGTATGGTCTAACATGCCTTCTACCTGCAAATTCATAAAGGAAAAGGGAAAATAAGATCGAAGATTATCTCTCTCCTAAACAAGCTAAGCCTTGATAGTTTCTTCCTAGTCAATCTTTGGAACTTCTGCAATCATGATGTTACCGTTTCGAAAGATGTAGTCTCGTGGTTCTGGGGGATTCGCTGGGGTTTGCCACACTATATCCATGCATTCGCCTTCCCTCTTCCTCTTCATTTTGTCTGCTTCGAAACTGTACGTCTCTTTTATTTCTCCGACTCGAACGGAGTGAGGGAGAAGCGTTGGAACTCAATGTCAACGACAATGCAAATGACGTCGTTGCAAACCCTCAATTGCCGATAAACTAAATGCGTCGTTTTGGCAAGGATATTAAACTGTGTCGTTTTGGTTTGGTTCGGTTTCCGTTCATATACGTGAAGACTTTTGCTTTGTCTTCTTCAGTTCAACCGTTTAAGCAACTCCACAAGAGCACACACCGATTTCTCACCAAAAGTCAAAAACCTCAATTCAAAGGAAAAAAATCCGGTGAAACTGTTAAAGGTACCGTTCAAATTCCAGTAATTTTTGTCGTGATTTCTCAGCCTTATTGATATTAAAACACTGGTTGATCCAAACATAGATCTTTGAATATATTATCTTTTGTCTAAGTAAAACCCCTTCGATTGAATTTTAGGTATTCAGGGCTGAGATTGATAAGCACAAGCTATAGATCAAAGAGCTGTGACATACTTACCTGGGATCGGTGGGTACAATTGAAGAAGTCAATTCAAATGCCTGAAGAGGACTTGATTGACATAAAGTTCAGGTTGTACGATGGGTCCGATATCGGACCTTTCAGGTACTCATCGGCCGCCACGGTCGATATGCTCAAGCAAAGGATTGTGTCCGATTGGCCCAAAGGTCAGTGTCAGTTTAGCTCTCACAAATTTGTTTATCGTTATTTAGTTTTAATCTGATATTTTCAACTCAATAGGTCTTGGTAGTAGCAATTTTAGAGCCCTAAGCGCCGTTTGTATGAAAAGAATTTTCAGGTAGTGTGAAATGTTCCGAGCTGGCTGTTGGGTGATTTCATATTGACTACTTAATTTTCAGTCAGACACATTTCATCACCTGCTTAAGCATATTAAGTCTAACAAGACTTGGGAGTCTAATTTTAACGCGTACACGGATCGTATCCTTATTCCAGTTCATTGTTGTGAGAAATTCCACCATAAGGTGACTAGTAATGAAGTTTGCGGATTCTGTAAAATCTGTTTTGACATTTTAATGCTAGAAAGTGCATTCACTACTATCAGCGAAATGAAGACATGAAGAAAATTGTAGTAGGTCAAGTCCCATTTGTATCATTACAGTAAAACCAGTTTTTGGGGTATAGACTTACGAATGCATACATGATTAGGATTACTCTTGCTGTTGCTGATATAATAACCAGTATTGTTATCAGAGTTGCAGAAAGCTTTCATCTTCTTTTGTCTTCTGGGATTGGATGTGGGTTGATTAGGGTGTGAAGATTAAGGATACAAGCATTTCGTGAAATCTTTTATTCATACAGGCATACAGGCATGCAGCTCCTGGTTTAGCCTGAAACACATCTGATAAAGAGTAATATTTTTCTGGACTGCTACAGTCATTCAATTATCTTCATCATGAACATGCAAAGACTCATCTTTTGCCCCTGGCATGTCTCTGATAAAGATTAATAGTAAGGATCTGAATTTTGGTTCGTATTTGAAAATTGATTTCACCTGGTTTCATCACTAACGCTCATGCATCTGAGCTGACAGGCTCTGATTTTGAACTATACAAGTGATAGTGTGCGTTAGTTTTGTACCTTTCTTCCCTTTTAGAACTATAACACAAGTGCCCCCCCCCCCCCCAATTTATTTTATGAATTTCCCTGTTATTTTCTGTGTCAACCTTGCTTTAAAATTATAAAACAAGCGAGAGATTGCTTAGATGTTTAGAGCCAATTTATATTCAGTGTAGGCCATTTTGAAAGAAGTATTCAAAGGTGAAACGTGCCCTCAAGGCGCTAGGCTTGTAAAACGTATCAGGCAAATGGTCCTAGAAAGGCGCTCACCTAATTGAATCAAGGCACTAAAGTAAGAAACAATACAACGTGTAAACCAAAGTATGTTTATAAACGTAATTCGAAATAATTATGGTGTTAACTTGTAGTTTACTTTTCTAGCAAACTGGAAGTGGGACAGAACGTGGTTTTCCATGCAAACATGAAGGTCAAGCGTTATCTTAAATAATACTACCTTCGGTCTTTAATATAAGACCTCGTTTGAATAAAAGACCCCAATCCACTTTATCTCTCTTTTTTATATATTTTTTTCTAAGATAGTCGTTGTAATCACAGTAGTTTCAGTCAATATACTTGATTAGTAAGGATATTTTAGGAAAGACAATATCTATTTATTACAAATAACTAATTTAACTAGTTTCCTTAATATACTTAAATTAGTCAACTAGCTCTTATATTAAGGACCAGAGGTCATATTTTAAAGTGAGATTTCCTATCTTAACCTATTATAAAATGCTAGACTGGAGTATTCCAGGTGTGTTTTCTGGTTTATGGGCTTGGGCTGTTTCACATGAGTAAGGCACCAAAAGTTGCACGCCTTTCGCAAGAAAAAGGAGCAAAAGGCAAGTGCCTTTTGGCACAATGTCAAGGCCCAAGGTGACAGGTGCGGGATGTATTCACTTGAGCATCCTAGGCCTTAGGGCGAGTGCCTTTAACTGCACTGTTATGAAAATAATTCTTGAAGTTTGCAGGTCCATGATCTGAAGAAAAGTAAAACATCAACATATCAATATGCTGGTTTTGCATTAGATAAATAAACATTACATCTGAAACTCTTGGCCAAACTCTGAAAGGACATTTTTCCTTTCAAAGGCCCTCTTTTACTAATGTCATGTTCAAGTTATATTGCTTGTTATGGTCAATTCTTTACTTTCATGCATTCACAATGAGGTTCCTAGAAGACCCCTCTTTTTCTGTGCTCATCATTCTTATTTATTACTATTGTTACTGTGAATTTTTTGAGCTGTTATCAATGATAGAGTACATCATCGGTCGTCTCTAGACACCTTCTGGACTAATACAAATGGTGCTTTGTTCTTCTGCTAGATTCTTTCTTTTTCTGGCGTTCTTTCATTTGATTCTTTTAAATTTTCCCCTACTGTAGGTAAAACAATCGTCCCAAAGGCAGCAAATGAAGTAAAACTGATTAATTCTGGTAAAATCTTGGAAAACAACAAAACCGTTGGTCATTGTAAAGCACCATTTGGTGATGTTGCAGGGGGAGTTATAATAATGCATGTTGTTGTACAGCCATCTCTATCAAAAACTAAAGCTGGTAAATTTCGTACTAACTGAGTAACTTCTTTATATGAAGATAACTATACGTTTAATGGCTTTGAATTTTGCCTCCCAATCTAATTTCAAGGTCACCGCTGTTGTATATTTCATGGTTTCCAATCTAACTGGAGCTCAGTGGAGAGAAAGATGTTGCATGCTGGCAGTTTGATCTGCTTGCTGATACCATTTTACTTCAGTAGTTTCATTTCTGTTATTGATGCAACCATTGATTTATTTATTTATTTATTTTTCCCTGTCAAAGGGTAATCTGGGCAAAAGTGCCAAGGGCGACTCCTGTTAGACGATCAGAGGGGGAATCTAGCATGAAATAGACTAACATAAACCGTTAAAAAAATTGTGGAATTTTGTTTTCTCCTTTTCAATTAGACCTTCTGCACTCTAGTTCGAAGGTTAAGACACTTTCAGTTTAACATCAGAATTCCTGTTTTCGTGAGCAGAGAAGAAGATTGATGATTCACCCAAGAAGGTTATGTGCTCTTGTTCCATATTGTGAAGGCAGTTCCTTAAGTTGGAGGTGCTTATCTATAAAAATCAGTTAGCCGTAAACTACAGAAATCATTGTCTGGAGCCAAAACCATTTTACTTTCAGCATTCATGTGTAAAAGTCTACGTGCAGTTATGTATTCAAAGAGAACGTTTGTGTTGATTGTGACTTCCAAAAATTGCATTCTTTTATTACAAGTTTTAAAGGGTTGATAGTGGCCAGTTGATTTCATCTATGCGCGTCACGTTTTTATTTTAGCTCTTTTTTAATATGATAGTAATTTGTATGATATGATATGCCTCATAAATGCTGGACAGGTAGTATTTTTGTTATGCTTCATCGGTGGACAGGACCGTGTGTTCTATCGTCGACGGATCGAATTGCGTTTTGGTCAATTTTTGATTCCTCAAAGCTGACTTCTCAATTTAGACTTTTATGTTAAGACCTCTTAGGTTTTTAATTATGGTTCCTCTGTTAGATAAATTTTTATCAAATAATCAATATTATAAAACAGCATCTTATTTACAGGAATTTTCAGCATTTCTAAGTTTTAATCTAGTCAGCTCTTTTCAGGTTGTGTATTTTTTTATTTAAAAAGTTACAACCTTTTTCGCGCACCTCATTAGTATTTGTGTATTTTTTTTTTCAATTATTTGAATATTTTAGCACAAGTTTAAGTATTTAAGCATTCGGGAAAAAAACAAAAAAAATTGCAGACATTTTAGTGAAGTTAGTTTAATTAGAACCACATAAAGCTAGCTCAGATGGGAAGGGTGAGGTGAAATAAGTCAATAACCAAACTTCCACGAAGCAACGATTAAATTAAAAAATACAATTTTTTTTTAAAAATTAAGTTACGATATATTGCTAGCCATTTGGCTTTTTATGGGATTTTGCTCGAAATATGGTATCCCCACTTTTTTTTTTTAGTTTTAAAATTACGAGGTCTAGCGTGCAGTCCCATTAACCCGCAGGCCCCCCTCCCTTTCTGTTGGGAAAGACGTTAAAGCCTCAAGCTAACATCATCTTCGCGAAGTTTGAGGAATGTGCATTTAAGAAGGTTTGGATATAAGGAGAGGAGGCCATGTCCAATAATTCCCTCATCTCTGTGAGGTACACAGGTCGTTGAGCTCATTATAGGGCCTTTCAAATGATGATGCGACTCTTCCAACATTTAAATATGTTCTACCTGCTACCTGGTTGCTTCCCCTCATCCATATCACCCATGAACCAAGCCATTGATTTAGAATACACATCTAGACTCAACTCCGGTATAAATTTCTGAACAACAAAACAAAATAAACTATCGCATCTGTTCATAATTAATCGTAAAATGACATTAATTTTTGTTATGCTCTTGGCTTAATGATAATGATTAATGATAATAATGTTATTATCGAATCACTAATGATTTTTGTATGCCAAGATGCCTCTTACAAGTTGAAGAAGATATGATTGCCTCCATAATTCCCAAAGCCATAACTCCTATTGTTTCTTGGGTGGAATGGGCATCACTATCACTCACACATCACCTCTCCATCTCCAACATCCACATCATCATGTTTCTCGCTATGTTCAAAATTCCAACTCCCTCCCATTCTCTTATAAATTCAGCACCTTGTTTTCCTCCTTTGGAAGCTCTGAAGGCATATCACCGTTTTTTCTTCTTCTATCTTAACAAAGGCTTCAACCTCACTCGATGCGTTCATCAAAGCACCATTTTTTCATAAGTAGCTAGTTTAATAGTTTTACAAGTTCAGAAACGACCAACAAATCAAATTTAGAAAAAGCGTAAGAATCAAATTGAAATAAACAAGACAAGAATAACAAAAGACCAAAGAATGCATTTTAACATAATATAATCTAACGATGTAAAATAATTGAACCACCTGAAGATTTCAATTCCCACTCAGATGTTTAATGAATATTTAATTATATAATATGCCCACCTAATTATGATTGCCAACAAGATTAACTTGATGGAATCTAATAATTAAGGGACAGAATCATGATCTCAAATTAATAGACCATTTATCTAATCTTTGCCATCCAAAACGGGCCATGATGAGTTGTGACAACCAGCCACTCTCCCCGAACCAAGTGGCCCGAAAAAGACAAGGTTCCTAATTCCATACCATTACGCCATCATGAATGAAATTAGTACTAATATTTTTCATTAAAAAGAAAAAAAAATCACTTTCTTTTGATGCCCAGCCACAAGGGCCCTCAAGAGTTAATGAACAGTTTTTATGAGTGGAGAAGAGCCGATTTACTATAACAAACGTTGTGCGGAGCACGCCATGAATTTTTGCAGAGGGCAAAAACTTAATGCTGGTACAGTTCTATATTAATGAATGTACACGATAACCAAAAGAATAAGATGCCAAAAGGGACAAAAATAGGCAAACAGGTCAAACTGTTAGGGTTGGAAACTTTATCTCTTCACCTAGTCACTATCAAAAACAATTTTAAGCATTCCTCAAAAATCACAGTTCCAAGCTCACACAGCCTGCACATGAAAAAGCAATATGGCATATACCTATATCTATATATACATTTCAAAAATATGTGCCCCAAAAAACTAAAACTAATTGACAATGACAATGGCCTCTATTATTCATAAGGTCATTAGGCACAGACCACAGAAGAAACTGAGAGAGGATAGAGGAAGGTATTGGCATATTGGAAGGAGATAGTACCGCCATTCTTGAGGGCCTTCCCATCATTAACGAGACAGTCATTGTAGCGAAGGCGCTTGAACACCTTTGGGTTGATGAGACGAGCTGAGCTGAACCAGCCACAGTTGAGGTGAATACCAGCAATGTTACACCCACTGACGCACAGATTCATGATCTCAACGGTGTAGGTGGGAATACCACTAGGGAGAGGTGCTGTGGGGCCTTGGTGTATTACAATATCAGACTTGCTGCACTTGTCGCCCCACATTCGGTTCGGCTCCGCCGTAACAGTGGCTGCAGCATAAAGGAGGTCAACAAATAGAGGGAAAGAAAGAGGAACTTTGAAAATGGTAAAATTGGGCAGTAAATGACTGTGCTGCAAAAGTTGCACTGCTAGACAGCACATCCACATCGCATAGTATTACACGTAGGGATTAATCAGGAAGTCATACAACGACAAAACACTACTATTGAGGCTTTGTATCAAAACGGAAAGAAAGCAAACTAACAACTCAAAAGCAGGCCCCTCGCTTTCGAATTTCTTTGAATTCGGAAGTTTGCTTTTTTCTGTTACTTTCCAGTGGGGGAAAAACCAATTCAAACGCACTGTGCTGTATGATTTTTTGATCAAACACAACTAACTTTTTAGCCGAAAAGAATAGAAATACAAATTAACCAGTAGTGCATCCTCATAATTCAGCCGAACATTTCCACATGAATCCTAATAAGTACACTTGATTTAATTAGCCTCTCATATCTAATCAAACGCATAGCGATGGGGCAAGAAAAAAGTCCTCAGTGGAAGACTTTTGTTTTTTTCTGGTCGTCATCCCCAACGAAAGACGTGAGCAAGAAATTGGCCACCCTTTAATGAAATTCCAGAGCAAAACTCTGGCGTGACGACGTACTCGTACGTATCAGACAGAGTATGGTGTCGGACAGGCCGAGGCGTCATTTTCAGAAGCAAATTCCATATGTCTCCGCTGATACATGATCCCCTCATAACGCCTCATCTCATCCATTTCGGGGGTGAATAATCGAAAAGGGGAAAAAGTAAAACCCATTCACTCACCACGATGAATAAAGATAAACAGAGCCCTCATAAATGATGAATAAAGATAAACAAATCAATGAATCAATGAAATTGCATATATAAATTACCACGATGATGAAGAAGCTTGCGATGAGTAGGAAAGAGATCGTTGCTTTCTTCCTTGAAACCCATACTACCCGTCCAAGCATCCATATCTGTGATGGATATCATAATGATAAGAACAATAACTGAGGGAACAAGCAGCTAATGCGGATGTCACTCAACAACAACATGAGAATAGCCAAAAAAACAACGTTAACCAGGAATCTGTCTAATGGAATGTTTGCAGTATAGATCACCGGGAGCTTCAGAGAAGCATACTCACCTGCAAGAAAAAGAAGCACTCCAAAGAACGACAAGGGCAACGCTAAGAATATAACGATTAGTCTGATCGAACACGTTTCCATTAACGACATCAATACAGTAAACGAGTGTAGTTCTCAGTCGCCGCTTCCTCACAGGAAAACGCAACACGGTAAGGAGGTGAGTGAGACTCGAAAACCTAGAATACCATGGAAGCGAGAGCCAAGAGAGTAGTATCACAGATCTGCAGAAAATGACGATATATATAAAGTTCATTAAAAAAGACATCACATCATCTGAAAAATTGAAAGAGAGAAAGAAAAAAAAAATCAGTCAACGAATCGCCGTCGATTCTAAAAAGAAAGAGGCTCAGATTTGACTTGAACTGAACGTGGAAGCTGAGAGAGAGAGTCACTCACGGTCACGGGGCAAGGATGACAGGGAGACCTAAAAGGAAAAGGCAAGGCAACCGCAAGTTGGAGCCAAGAATGGCTAAAAATAAAAAGCATTCGGGAAGAAGCAGAAGCCAGCTAGCTCCAAAAAAGAACCCACACGATTAATGACTCTCAATCAAGTGGCCGTGAAAGGAAAATTCCCAGGGCGATAACATTCAACTTCGCTCATGCATTTCTCGGGAAAACCGTGGGGAAGGATAATGAAAAATTTCACGAAAATCGAAGGCTAGCTCACGCAGCAGGGAAAAATAGCAGCGGTGGTGGTGGTGGTAGAGAAGAAGAGTTCCTTGAGAAGCGGGAAAGTTGATTTTCCCGTGAGAGACGGAAAAATTTAGAGGATTATTTTCCAGGAAAGAGTATAGACTAGAGAGGTAGAGAGCATGGGAAATGTAAAAACGAAAAAACGGAGCTACGAGGGAGACGGCAAAATACGTGGATGGAAAAGGGAGGCATAAGAGCGATGCATGGCAGAGGCAAAAGGGGGGGTCGAAGCGACAAAGATGGCAGAGACAGAAATGACAAATCACACAGAATAGTGAAAAAGCCGATACCACTCCGCCATTGTATTAATGAGACGCCAACCTACATCAACTATTGTACTAGCCATCTGATCCACAGAGAAACAGACACAGAGAGAGAGAGAGAGAGAGAGAGATCGCACCTTTGAATACGGATGGACGTTACGAGTGCTCGCTCCGACCTGCAACAAACGGTGAGAGTCTGAGAGAAAGAAAGAGGTGGGGGAGCAGCGAAGGCATGTAGGGGCGGTGGTGGCCTGAACTGGCGGGTTTCTGCTTTATTAGTGCTGAGCGCGTAGAGTTGAGTTTAATTAAGGTCATGTGATTAATTATGTTCCCTCCAGTAATTGTAACTACATTTTAAGTTTAACGTCACATCTCCATTGGCTGGATAATTATTTCAACAAATTAATTTCGGTAAATAAAATTGCTCATAATATGAAAATGTACGAACCGAGTTTAACTGCATGTTCATGCATGTAAGCATCCTTTGCTGCGTAATATAAAAAATAAGATTAAAATGTTTCACTGAATTATTTAATTTTAACAATTACGATGTATCATTAGTATATCTATTAAGCAACAAGTTAAATAAATTAGCTTAAAAAAACATATATTCCTCTGTTTGTTAGTATAAGACTTAATTAACTAATTTGAGTAGCATAATAATATTAATTAAATTAGTTAATATGATATATTTTTTCTGAAACACCCTGATATGTTTTTTGATTTATTTTTCTCTCCTCTATTTGATTATTGTTAGGAAAATATTAATACGGTTAATTTAAAAAAATAATAAATATATGAAATAAATCTTATATATAAGATCAATATTAATTTTATAAATAAGTCTTACATCAAGGACAAGAAGAATAATAAATATAAAATATAAAATAAATCACTGCATTACATTTATCACTAAAATTAGTTTCTTAACTACTAAAACTTCTGTATGAGAGGAGCATGAAAATAATTTAAAAAAATGGTTCATTGAGCATAAATATTTTCTATATTTAATGAATATGAGTTGGGTATCGAATGTATAGTATTGCTGCCAGTGGCTGGTGATCGTCGGTGTAGATTTTATTGGGAATGTGCATTTGACTTCTGATTTTTTAATTCTAATGACAATAATGAGGTTGTTAGAAATCTAATTTATTAGGGGAAAAAATGAGTAATTTACGAGGAGTAAAACTGCTAGGATACAACAAGGGTGAGGAGGGCAAGAACGCACGTGGAGATGGTAAGGGGGTGATTGGCATTATGATGGTTAATGATTACATGGCGACATGGCATCCCTTCCTGTGCTTTGTGAGGTGCTTGGTCGATCCCCACGCGCTCCTTCAGGCGCCCATATCCTACTTCATTCTGCCACTCTAGATTCACTCGCATATGGTACCTACCTATATATTACCTCCACTAATGATTATAACAGTCTGTAAATAAAATTTGATAATTAAAAACGGATGTAGTTCTCCTTCTACCCATATTTTTATATGCACGTGTCCCTCTCTAAAACATATACCTTGATAGTATTAATAGATCATGTTTTGTGAGTGTTAAATTTTTTAATGGTGCTAATAGATAAAATTATTATAATTTTACACATTCTGAATGAATTTTTAATTAACAAGATTTTTAAATATGCAGTACTCTTTGAGTAAAAAATTTTAGAATAAATTTACATATTACTTCATTTGATTACCGAAAAGTATTGAATGAGCAGCATGCAATATAATAAATTTTGATAAAAAATCTGCAGTATGCTAAAAAGCAAATGCTGGGTATTTTAAAATGGGCTTCAAACTAGGCTTTTCTACTACTGGGTTTAATCGGACAGTTCAAACTGGGCTGGAAGAGAGGCCTCAGAAGTTTTAACTTCCTGGGCCATAGTTATCAACCCAATCACAATGCAGGAAAATGAGAATCAACCTCATCAAACCTTAGTATCTTAAATAAAATTATCTTTAATCAAAAAATATTTATGTCTAGTAAAAAAATAAAAAAAGAAGATGCGATGATTTCTCCTTCAGTTCAACTCCTATCAAGCATCTTTATAAAATATTCTTATATAATATTGAATTATATATTAATTTATAAGTTCGATAAATTAGTTTAAAAAATGATAAATATAAAAAAGTAGATCTATACTTGCAAAAAAAAAGAGAATATATTCAAATTCAAACCTCAACTAATTTATATATCAAAGACTGAGACGATATTTAAGAAGGTATAACACCATCCAATCCTCCGTTAACATAAACATTTGGTGGAAGAATCAATTTGTTTAGAACACGTTAAATGATAATATTCATGTTTATGACGAGAAAAAAGGTAATTATAATAGTTTTGAGCTTAAACGTTGTTGAATGCAAGTTTAAAAAGAAAATTCCTAAGACTTCATTTGGTAAACTTGCAAAACAGAAACGAATCGTAATAAAATATCCATTATTTAAATCACGAAGCATGCGTTGATAAGCACGAACTAGTATTGATTTGGCTACGCTGTTAAAAAAGTCCAACTTATTTTAGATTTTACGATTCTAATTATAAAAGCTACTTGACTAAATCGAGAAGACTAATAAAATAAGTTAAGTCAGTTATCTGTAATAGACAGGTGCTGTCTTTCCTAAAATATCACTATTAACCAAGTGTATTGGTTAAAATTACCAAATGACTATTTTGAAAAAATATATATAAATACAAGAAATAAAATGGATTGGAGTCTCATATAAAATAAAAATCAAACGAGATCTTATATTAAGAACAAGAGTATATATATTACCCTTCCAATCCTAAATATAAAACCCTTTTATACTATAAGAAAAATCCTATATTTAGAGTCGGAGGAATATATTTAGGAGCGGAGGAGTATATGAAACATGTTTGATTATAAGTGAAAGTATTCAAAACGCATGTGAATATTTTTCTTCTCACAAACATCCAGTCCACATAATAGGATTTTTCTTTGGTTGGAAAACTGCAAATTTTGAGAGCAAATAGTATTACTGATACGATTTACTCACGAAGGCGGCGGAAAAGACAATGTGTCCGGAAATTTCTGTTAAATGCGGCATTCTTGCGATAAATTTCGTGCCCAAACATAGAAAGAAATCTAGCCTTTTCATGCCTGCAAAGTTTACTATTTATGGCAAAATTTTATAACTTGTAATAATTAAATACGAAGATTTTTGAGGACGCCCTCTGAAGAAAAACAATTTCACACGTGGAAGAACGGCATTGGTTGAAAAAATAGTACAAGACAGACGACCGGGGTTGAACTTCACAGCGTGACGTAGCTGGGTTTAGGTGTGTATATGGTAGTCTGAGATGGACTGCTCATCCACCCGCCGATAAAGAAATCGAAGGAATCTGACATTTTCAAATCCTGCTGCTTCTCCTTCTTCAATAATCCACCATCGCTCACGTTAATTTTCAGAGTAGTTGGAAACCCTTTAACTCTGTTTCTTCAAAGCCAATATTCGCCTTCTTGTTCTGCCAAATCTGTCTCTCTCGTTGCTGCTGAGAAGATCCCATATTCCTTTTCTTCGAGCGGAGCCTCAAAGCCCAAACGCTAAGAAATCTCCCACAACTACTTTGCCCTGTGACGTCTTAACTTTCGTCCTCTTCTTCTGCTGACTAAAATTGACTTCCTTTCGTTCTTTTACTCGTCTATCACAGCTATATTTTTGTGACCAGCTTTCCTCTTCTTCCGTGTCTATCAGTGAGATTCCTCGAATTAAAACTTCCTGGGGAATCAAAAATTCAAAATGAATAGTAGGAAATGGGGTTTCGTTGGGCTTCTTTGTGTTGCTTTCCTCTGTACAAGTGGTGCTGTCGAGCGAGGTCGAAATCAACCTACTGAAAGAATTTCAGGTGCAATCCCTGTCATTGACCCACTTCGTTTTTCGATTTATTTAATCTCCGAGTTCTTTTTTAATTTCGGAAGTTTTGTTATCTTCCTTTGATTTGGGGCTGTTGATTACAGTCGAGTTCATTTTGGTCATGATTGGATCCTTCATAGTTGTGGCGCTCTCCTGGGTTCTTCTGACGTGTATTCAATTAAGATCTACTTTAGATTAAGGTTCACTCGGATATCTATATAAGCTGTTGACTTTCTTTTTGGTTTTTGCCAAATTTATGCGTACTGGTCTCGATATAGATCTTTTGTTCCCTAGCATCTTGTGAAACACCATAGTCCTAAAATCACATTTTGAAGTTGCTACCGTGCTAGTTAGATCACACATTGAATTATTTGTTGGTTTGATATGGGCGGGCGCGGCTCCAACACTGAGTATGAACCGCTTTAGGGATTGACGTTCTGAAGCTGCTCCAGTTGCAATGGATAATAGATGATATAGAAGCCGTTATCGGTCCCGTCAATTGATTTTTTTTAAGAAAAAAATGGAATTAATAGAGTGGCTCTATCTGCTGTTATTGGGTCAGCTAATTGTTTGCAATATCAACACAGGTTCTTGTGGACAATTTTCACTAGGATAGGGATATGCAGGCTGATAGGAGGTAGTAAAGCGTTCTGTTTACTTAGTGATCTCATGCCAGCCAAAATCATGCCCTTTTTTTGTATCAAAGAAAAATGTATTACTTTGGTATATGGAGTCAGAGGTTTATTCGGACACACCTATATACTGGGGCACTATATATCACCCAGGTAAAGATGAGTGAAGTCAAAGTTAAATGCTCTAATTAATCCGATATATCTGAAGGTGGCTCTGTTATATTGCTGTGGAAGTGAGACATGAGTTCAAATATCGGTAGTCCATTAAATTTGATTTGGTGTTTGTTGTTAATTTTGATAATTATGGGTCTACCTGCACAGGTATGCCTGGTTGCTTGAAATTTTAATTTCAGGTCATTGATAAGCTGGCTTCTCTGCAACTTCTCAAAGCCTTTCATAATGAAACTCATTATAGTGATAAGCTTGACACATACAGATCTGCTAAACTTCAGTGTGATCTGAACTACTTCAGAATCAATGTTATATTTAATCTGTATAAGCGAGACTAATCATCAGTGTTTATATTATGGATGAACAATTGCAGGTAGTGCTGGTGATGTACTAGAAGACGATCCAGTGGGAAGGTTGAAGGTTTTTGTTTATGAACTCCCTAGCAAATATAATAAGAAAATTCTGCAAAAGGATCCAAGATGCCTCACTCATATGTTTGCAGCTGAAATCTTTATGCATAGATTTCTCTTATCTAGTCCTGTTCGAACCCTTAATCCTGAAGAAGCTGATTGGTTTTACACCCCAGTATACACCACCTGTGATTTGACACCTAATGGACTTCCTTTACCTTTTAAATCACCGAGAATGATGAGAAGTGCTATACAGCTTATTTCTTCAAACTGGCCTTATTGGAATCGGACAGAAGGGGCGGATCATTTCTTTGTGGTTCCTCATGACTTTGGTGCATGTTTCCATTATCAAGTATGAAAATTTAGTACATCATTTTATAAGTTTTTTTAAAAAGAATATTTTGTGCGCAAATAAAGTAATATTTTTCAAGTATATCAGATTACTTTGTTGGTATTATACATGAAAGTATATATTTTTGTTATATTGTTTTGTTCCAGGAAGAGAAGGCGATTGAAAGAGGAATTCTGCCATTGCTGCAGCGTGCTACCTTGGTTCAGACATTTGGACAGAGGAATCATGTCTGCCTAAAAGAGGGCTCAATCACCATTCCTCCATATGCTCCACCTCAGAAAATGCACACCCATTTAATTCCTGAAAAAACTCCTAGATCCATTTTTGTTTACTTTCGAGGATTGTTTTATGATGTTGGAAATGACCCTGAAGGCGGCTACTATGCAAGGTAGGTCTTATATTTCAATACATATGTGCCAAAGAATGTAGTGGCATCCTATGATCGAAAATGCTATTAGAATTTAATTGATGTGTTTAGTTATTATGATTGAATTATTAAAACTAGTAAATCAAATTGGAACTTAGTCCTTTGGTGATCAAAAGTTGACTTTTGAGATTACGTGCAGAAATCAACGAAAAATATGCTTCAAAGTCTGGTGCTATGCATGCATGTTTTTGTAATGTAAAGCAAACACAACTACAGATAATTTTATCAGTCAAGGTGATTGTATCTTGTAAATTTACAGAGGTGCAAGAGCAGCAGTGTGGGAGAATTTTAAGGACAACCCACTTTTTGACATTTCTACTGAGCATCCAACTACATATTACGAGGACATGCAACGCGCTGTCTTTTGTCTGTGTCCACTTGGCTGGGCCCCTTGGAGTCCTAGATTGGTTGAAGCTGTGATATTTGGTTGCATCCCTGTTATCATTGCTGATGATATTGTCCTACCATTTGCTGACGCAATCCCATGGGAAGAGATTGGTGTATTTGTTGACGAAGAGGATGTCCCTAAGTTGGACACTATACTCACATCTATCCCACCAGAAGTAATATTAAGGAAGCAGAGGTTGCTTGCAAACCCTTCCATGAAGCAAGCTATGCTATTCCCTCAGCCTGCGCAACCAGGAGATGCTTTCCATCAAGTTCTAAACGGGCTTGCACGTAAATTGCCACACGACAAGAGTATATACTTGAAACCAGGGGAAAAGATTTTGAATTGGACTGCTGGCCCTGTGGGTGACCTGAAACCTTGGTAGAGGTTATAACAGTTTTTCTTTGAGGCAATTAGGATTCTTTATGTTGCTTGGTCAAATCCTCCAAGTGTTCATAGGGGTTGGTTGTAATTCAGATGCTGGGTTCAATTTTCATTGTAAATTTTGATAATTTTTCCAGACAATATATTAGATATGTTGTCCATTTGCAGCTATGATGGAGTTTTCTTTTGTTGTTATGCCTCTCTTTTAATAATTCTTTCATTGTACGTTTCTTGATCCTCTGTGCATGAAAGGAACGTGTAAAGTTCATGTGTTTTCAATCACCTCTCAACTAGGGGTGTTGATTCTTTAAAAAGCTCGAGATTAGCTGGTGGTATAATTTCTGGTTGTTCTGGAACCAGAGCGTGTCCGGTAAGGTAGTTTCAAAGCTAATAATGCTTACTCATAGCATATGTCCTTCTCCCGTATAATTATTTTATACTAACAACTGGTGGTTCATTTCTAATTGATCGTGTGTTGACCATCATGCCCACCACCGCCTCCAACAACCGCCTATTTTCCCCCCAATTTTTGACATCGTTAGATAATTTACATTTCTCAATAAACAAATGCAGTGAAACACAAAATTTGGCAGTGGACATTATTGTACGTTGTGGGGGTATGAAAGCCACGCTTTTTTCATGGAGGCTGCAGACACAACATGGCGATGAAACTTATACGCCTATCTTCCACCATTTTGTGTGTCGCACCACTTTCCATTGTCATTGACCAATCTTGAGAAGCAGTAATTGGTGGGAACTGAAAGAGCAAAGAAAAACACAGCACCACCAGACCCCCTTCTCCATCATCCCCTTGGCCCCATGCCGGTCCTCCCCAATCCTTTTGCTCCCAATCCACTTATAACCATCACCGTACTTCAACAGCACTCATAATTTCCGTAGGCCTCACTCCCAATCAAGCCTATATATCTGTCCGCATTGCGGACTCGCTTTATATTTTCCCCCCAACGTTCCTAGTTTACAACTTTAAATATATTAGTATGGTATAATGTTAAACCTCCCATCGTGAAGTTGCCTGATAGATGCTTCTACCCTCTTTATTTTTGGTAAATAACCGGTCATCCCTTTCTCTTCTAACACCACGAAACTATAAAGCAACCTCAGTTTTGCCAATAAATGCATAAGCAGAGAGAAAGCAGATAATGCAACCACGCAAATAGCTTCAAGGAACCTATATAAATCTTTACATGAATGTGCTAGAAAAACTCATGCAATGTTTGACCGATCGAGAGAACAGCGACCTATTTATTGGCTGTTGCTTATAATATCGAACTACACTATTGACAGTAAGATACTACTGATGACTGAAGACCTACGAAAATGGGTGTTGCGGCCGTGTAAAATAAAGCAATTACACATTTTGCATGAAAGGCACCATCTGGGGCTATTCCACAATGATTTAAGGTCATTTTCTTTTCAATGCTCTCAATTTCCTAACTCTGCAGCCTTTGGAGCTTCGCAATAGCTTCATCCCCAGTTGGGGAAAGCGGCTGCTTCCTCTTAAAAAGATCCTGAAACAAGATAAATTCATGATGAATTTTTCTCTTCATTCTTGCAAGATAAATGAACCCTCTATTCTTCTCTCCATGGATGGTGGAGGGGGGAAGTTCAAGGGAGAAAACATATCGTTGAAACTGGAGGTTGGTGCGGGCTTGAACTCATAAGGTCCTTCCTTCGGCCCCCAAACCTGCAATCAGGCACAAAAATAAATAATGTTGAATCTTTTTCCCTCAGATAAATGCCTATTTACAAGTAGCCATTCCTGTGACCCATTTCGACAAACTAGCTAAAAAAAAAATGCAGAATTAGGTACAAAACTAACTTGATTTCCATTGTCATCATAACCCCTATCCCAGGTTTGTATCTCCTTATTTTTCATGACTGTGAGTTCGGTAGTACAGTAGGATGCTCCATTCTGCAACAAAAAGGACAAGATATTATACAGAATTAGAATAGAATAATCCCCTCCAAAGGAAAGGGAGTTTGAATCTTGAGAACAAAAGGATAGAAAACCAATTGAGAGAAAAAAGACAAGCAAAAAAATTCAAAATCCAAGTTCAACAAAGCTGGCACATTACCAAGGATTTTTAACTTTATATTCTATATTGATGATATTAAATCCACGTTCAACAAACCATCATGAGACCATCTTGGACAAAGAAAAGCAGCACATAAGACTCGGGATGGGGAGGGGATGATTTCTATAAGGCAATAGTTTAACTACAAATTACCCATGAATTAGGAAACCCGCCAGGAGGGGTTGAACCTTCATATAAGCAGCGTTTTCCACGCGGACAGCGCTTCAGATGTATTGTTGTCAAATGCTCTGCAATGTCCTGCAAACCACGGCACACTTACTCAGAAAACAACCATGCTCAATTGCTTATACAGTTTAAAGATACCATCCACATTTAAAATCACTTCCATAACATACTTGATACTTATTTTTATTTTATAATTTAAATTCTAGGATTTTTTTTTAAAATCTTTTGACAGTATATCATATCTCGTAAATTTTTTTTTCTTTTTATTGATATAGACTGTATTGCTGAAAATCAGATAAAACTAGCTAAGGTTCAGAAAAATTTATATAGCCTTATGCCCTTAAACTGTATCCTCTTATAGACATGATTGAATACTTACCCCAATGACTTCTTCTTGCTGTGGACGCTGATCCTTTGGGCGATCACAAAAGTTCTTGTACTCCTCCATGTCTCTAATGGCATATGTACTTAACTACAGAAAATCGAAGCTAGCAGTCAGGCACTAATTCAAAATAACATATAATGTCCATTAATCAGTAACAGGAATGAGAGAACAGTAATCTTCTAAAGATGAGGTATGCAGCTTCCTCTATCAGAAGTTCAACAAAACCTAGTTACATCTTAGACCACTTACTTTTGGTTGCCATAGAAATCAGAAACAAATTCAAAAGTCCAAAAAGTTCAGAGGAGATGCATTCCTCAAGGTAAGGGAGCATAAATGGTCCAAAGAAGGGAGGAGGGAAGAAAGGCATGAGAACACATACTCTTCAAATATTTATTCCATAGAAAAATAAAGAGTCGTTCCCTTTAAAGAAGTCCTCCTTGTTATTTTATGAAGTTAGAGATGTTAGAAAGCAAAGATAGCATAAATTACATAATCTAAATCACAATTCTCAACCATGACGCAGCAAAATTTAACTAAATTTCACAGAATAAACTCCTCATAATTATTAAATGAGAGGGAGAGAGCACCGTATAACCATATAATAGCAGCCATACCAAGTTCCATGCATAAATGCAAATAGCTAAAAGAACCACAAAAAGGACATCATAAAACTGGTCGCACACAACCTCAACATCGCATTTCAACTCTTTTGGACAAGGTTTCACCATTAAAAACCTCTGCATGAAGATGATAGAAGATAATTTAGACCATGCATCATCAGAAAAACCAAAATAGTAAGGTGCGTGTGGCAAAATTCCCAGAAAGTCAACATTGTGGAGTAGTCTTGCGCATGTTCAGGTTTTCTTTTCTTTTTCTTTTTCCCACCTTTTCTGGGCCACCGGTTCATGTTCAGATTTTGAGTATTAAGAAACATACGAAATAAATTTGAACATCAATTCTCACAACTCACAAGACATGTGTACTACCTGTCGAAAGGGCTTTTGTGGAGTCCTCCAAAATGCCTATCAGCACAAAGAAAAAATATTCATGAGCAACTTATGAGATTGAGATCTACAAGACGGAAAAATTATTCACAATGAAGATGCTAGTATACTCGTATTATATTCACCTGTTCAAAATACAGGACATTTGAACCATTCACTAGATCTGCCGCAGGGCACGTGAGCATTCTGCGAAAATTATAGATAAAAATGATGCATTTATGAGTGGCTTCCCTCTCCAAAAACAAATGAAGAAAATAAATTCGGTCATCACTCCCTCCCTTTTCCCCTTCTCAAACTGAAAAATTTCCAGAGGGAATCGTTAAGAAATTATGGTTCCAGGCAATGCAACTTCGAAAACGGTGAAATGTATAGGCATTAGGTACTGATACTAATTATAATCTGAACGTCTGGGAATAAAATAGGCAAAACAGAAGCTGCTATAGTACAGATAATGGTAACAGTGCCAATCAGAAACTGAAAAGAATGAATTAACATACCTAATATTGAAATAATTATCCGGGTCTCTGGAGGCTTGCTCTTTTGAATACTACACACCGAAAAGTTTTGAAGAATTAAGCACAAACATAGAGAAAAGGATCATCTAGCACACACATATACACGCACAACAAGCAACAAGGAGCAGTAAAGAATGCAAATATGAGTAGACGATTCACCTTTTCGCCGGCGAGGGACTGAGAGACAATACGAGCATGGTCCCAACGTGTGGTAGACTTACTTAGTCGCTTCACCAGAAGTGCACCTCCAAGGAGTACTAGAGTCTTCACCACCAGCCCCCGAGCACGGTTCCATCCATTGGAATCGTTCGAATCCGACTCCTTACCCATGTAAACTGTTTACTATACAAATAATAATCCGCGAAACTGAGGAATCATCTAAATCCAGCCATTCTTAAGACATCAATCATCGTACAAAAAGAATCTAGAAACTTTGCAGGTGAAGCAGAAGACGGTTTAAGAAGAAAACAAAAGGAACTCGTCAAATTAAAGTTACAGGAGTAGACACATAAGGGGGAAATGGCAGCCTAGCTGCTGCGACAATCTTCATTGGCCTGAGAAAGGCTCATCATCATCATCATCCCGAGATAGAGGCACAGACCTCAACTTTTTGTGAGATCACTCCCCCGCCGTCAATTGGGTTAACCAGCATTAGTCTGAAATAAAATCAACAAAATTTATTACGAATGTAAGACGTGTATTTTACTCATCAGCGCGGCAGGATTCTGATTTATTCAGCTATAATTTTTGCAATTTTAACGTTTTACTTATTTATTTTTTTGATGAAGTACTTATTTATTTTTTTGCATGTCACCATAATTAAATAAACAGCGTTCTACTTATTGAAAATATAAGAAGAAATAAAAGAGAAGAAAACATACCACTTAGATAAAATTTCATTTATTTAGAATATGATATATTTTCATTATGATTTTAATACGCCTTGTATTATAAGAATCAATAAATTAATAAATTTGCAAGATATGTAATTAAAGATTTTAATCTATATAGTTAACTTATATAATTTTC